CCAATTCCCAGTCTCGTGTGAGCAGCTTTGCCAGCTTCCAAGCCGGTTTCTTCAGCGCAGGAGTCTTCAGCGCAGCACAGAGTGGGGAATGCAGGTCTCTTAAGCGTGGTTGCAGCGCTGATGCACGAGGGAAAGAGTGCACCAGGAATCCTTGTGACTGGCTCTGGTCAGCTTGGTGCACGCACTGCTCCTCCTCACGTAGGTCGCTGTGTGGTATCGCTGGTGCAGAACTGCTGCTTTCAGTTSTGTTAAGTGGCTGCGTGTCTGGAGGGTAGGAGCCCCCATAATCTGTGTGTGTTTGAGTCAGCTGAGCATGACTGCCAGCGGCTGCAGCTGACATCTTATCTGCCCCTTTACAGATGGGGCAACCTTGTTTTCTGCTTCTCAGAGGCTGGGTAGACTCAATATGCAAGCTACTAATTATGAGGGTTGTTGGAAGACAGCGTTATATCTAAGTAACTGTTAATACCTTGAAAGTGATTCTTTACAAAGGTTCTTCGCCAAAGTGAGTAGGAGTTTATTATAGAGTGTCCTGAAGTCTTATTACTGCTCAAATTTGCTCTCTGCTGTGGTATTTGTTTGCTCTTCCCCTATCTCTTGTGTTTCATCTTTGATGTTTTCTTTATGAAACAAAGACGCCCATGTGGATAGAGTCTAAGTGACATAGACCACTTGTTAAATGAACAATATTATAGTATTTTCTTCTCTTGTATTTCTCAGCGTAGGGCTTGTGAAGCTTAATCATTCCACGATTTGCTTTTTGTTATCCTTACCTTTAAAGGTGATCATGGTGTTGGTAGGGATTGATATGCAGGCAGAGTGAAATAAAATAGTCATTTTTGATTAGAGTACCTTATTTTTAGTTACTTTTACTTATAAGCTATTTCAAATGTAGGCAATTTTGAGCATAAAGGATTTGTCCAGTAARTTGTTACTAAGAGTGGAAATTGCATCAATGAAAGTGAAAGGCACTTAAGAATAAAACTATCAAGATAGCTAAAATGGGATTTAAGAGACAGTAGTTATTTAGGTGCTCTTGAAAATCATTTTGCAGAATTTCTAAATAAGGTTTTATTAAATCAGTAATGTTTTAAATGATTAAGCCTGAAGAATATTTGAAATCTGATTTATCATTGCTCCTCCCATTTGTTTCCTTTCAATTTTCTCAGTCTGCCTAATGAAAAGTACTAATTTTCTTTGCATGATTTTCACTTCTAGATGGTGAACAGATRATATTTAATTTAAAAATGCAGGTCTGTGCTTTTTGGTTAAACAAAATTGTTTCCCAAGCTGTTTCTGAAATAATGACCTTTGTTCTGCATGTGTCTCTGGGGCAGCAGCCTGGTCAGAATTTGAGCTACTTCGGGTCCCAGCATCTCGGTGGCCTGMTTGCTAAGAGGCCATCTGTGTTAAGAGCTAGGAACCTAGAGCCTGCTTACTCTAGACATCTGTTGAAGGTTACGTTGTTGCCTGTATGTTTTCCTCCTCCTGCAATTGTGCACTTGGATATTTTGTTCTTTTACAAAGCCTGGGTGAGCCAGCGAGGTTCACCGTGGGTTCAAAAGCTGGGCTCTGCAATGGTGATTAACAAGGTGAGACCCTTAACTGTAGCCATCTTGAGAGCACATTAAAGATATTTCAGTACTGGGCATCTCTGAGGCCATTGCAGCTGTTTTGGGAGTCAGTTGGTGTTTGAAAGACATTTTGAACCTGATTTTTTTTTTTTTTTTTTTTTTTTTAACACTCTACGTGGAGTTCTCATGGCTCATCAACAAATTTTTACTTGAATACAATTTTGTGCTGTAAGACTCAGAGTGAAGGGCTTCCCTGCATGTACCACATTGCACAGGGTTAATAAAAATATTAGTTATCTGCACAGCCTGAAAAATGAACTGAAAGAATATACCTCATTTTAGTCTTTCTAATTTTGCTTTGAGAGGTGCTACCTAACTTAAGGAAACTATTTGCTTATCACTTAAACTCACGGGTGTTAGGGGCACAATTCTTTGTTTGAAATAAGTCAAGGCAAGATTGGCATTTTACAGGCTTCATTAGTGCATAAAACAGTAAGTAGTTATTGGTGGCTTTAGTTTTCACTGCATAAATGAACACTGTGTAGCGCCATCAAAACTTGGAAAGAGCTTTAGGAGTGTCTTTTAATAGTGCGTGCAGTGTTCCTCTGAGCAGACAAAAGCAAATGTGAAGGCTTTTGCCTTTGGTTAGCCTGGTTATGTCAGGGAAGAGATGGCCTCTTGATTAAATCCAGATTGAGCAGCTTCCTGTTAGCACGCAAGCTCGGCCCACAAGGTCTTATTCTGAAAGTCTGTTATTGAACTCGTCTGCCAAGTCCTTTTCCTTTTAAACTTGCAGGCAGGGTTGCAAAAATAATACAAACAATCTCTGAATGTCTCTTAAAATGACTTCTAGCACTTCAGTGGTTTGTTGACAAATTCAGTTTTTCAGGGTTTAAGTCTGTTTTTGTTTAAATTACATTTTTGTAAGCATTCTCTCAATGTAATGTCTTGATGAGATTGCAATTAAAGGAAATTTTTTGTGCGTGTATTAATCTTGGAAGCACGTTCTTCCCATGTCTGGCACATCTTATCATTGGATGAGAGATTTTATAGACAGTGAAATCAGAATATGGCCTTAATTTAATATGTCAGGGCAAAGGGAGAGGAGGGAATATTCAGCCAGGCTGCTTTTCCAGTCCAGGACACTATGGAGCTGCATGGAAGCTTATTTCAGTGGCTTTTATGAAATAGTGTTATTTTACAGGTGAGATTTAGCTGTSTGTTTCATTGCAGCTCTGCTTACCTACGATGTCTGTGTTTGTGATCTGTGAAGGGCTTCCTTGCATCTTGATCCTGTGAGATGCTCCAGGCTCTTCCAGGACTTCCTACTATTAGGAAGTCTCTATAGAACTATTTTTCTACCCAAAAAGCCCAGAACGCTGTGTGGTACTGCTAAAAATAAATCGTAACTTGCTGTGGTCTTTAGAGTTGGTGAAACTATTATTTGCCAGTCCCTTTCCCTGCCTGATCTGTTTAGTATGCAAACAGCAATTACTGTTTTAATGTCACACCTGAATTTGTTGGACACTGTTAAATTAGGAAACAAGATTTCCTTGAGCAAGAATTACAGAGCTTCAGACTAATATTAAAGAGGTTTATATTTTCTAAGAGAAGAAAGGATTTCTATTGTAAGTGGTTTAGGACCACTAGAAGGTCGTGACCAAGTGTGCAGTACATGGGTTAGCAGCTCTTCATTACTTCATCAATTGAATTTTTGGTGTATTGCCAGTATACCTTGTGTAGTGACTAAAAAAAAAGTTGTTGGTATTTTTTCTTTGTGKTCTTAAGCTAGTACCAGGGTGCTAACATTTAGAATATTATTATGCTGCTACTTTGCAACTTACATGTTATCAGGCAAATTTCAGAGTAAACCTTTAATCAGATGGGCCTGTGACTGAACGCAGCATTCACTCCTGCAGGTATTTCTTCAGATGAGTTTGAGGAATGTGGGAAGAAACCACGGAGAAGCCAAAAATATGGGTTGTATTGTTACCAAAGGAGCCTCTCAATACAGTGTTGGTAGTCCAGCACCTCTATGAATAATATCTCAAAATTCAAAATCCAGAAGAGTTGTTAAATCATAAATGATGACTGTGAGGCTTATGTAGGAAATGACCTAATGATATCCCATTACTGTTTGTGTGTCATGATACACCAGAAGCCCTTCCCCCGGAAGGGAAGGTTGTGACTCAGCAAGAGCATCAACACAGATGAGAGCTCGCAGTGAGTGTGGCTGTGCAGAGGCTCTGCTATGGAAATGGGACAAACTCCAGCTTTATTTTGAGATTTCAGGAGAATAGACAATGCAGAGACTAGACTGTGTTGTCTATTCTTGGCTGGGACAAGTTTACTTCCCGCAGCATGTGTATGTTTATTAGTGCTGAATGCATTAAATAGTGATCAACCATGTAGTAGCCGTTGAAGGTAGTGGGGCAAGTGCATTGCACGTCCTGCCCATCCCGAGCAGAAGGTGCAATGCATTGGGCAGTTTGGTCCCTCCTATCCCCAGTGCTGGCCATACTTACACTAGTTCTCTTGACCGCTTTCTCACCCACAGATAGGCAACTAGAAAGATTAATAATTTCTCTGTTAGATTACTGTTGATGTTTTTCTTCCCATTCTAAAGACTTGTTATCATACACAGTTGGAAAAATAAGTACTTAAAGTAGTCCCAAGTGTTATTTGCTGCATTGTGCTCTAGACAATTAACTTAGGTAACGTGTCTTGTTATTTCAGTTGACGTGAAACAGTCTGTAAGCAGTAAAACAAAATGCTGGCCAGGGGAAAAAAAACACAACCTCTCCTCCCCACCCCAGCAAACCTGAGATCTGTCAACAAATATGGTATCCAAATAGAAGTTGAGAGAGGGCTAAAGGGAATCCAAAAGGTCACTGTGGCAGGTTTGCAAGAGAACTATGACAACTTCCGTGCAAAAAAAAATTATGAAATGTTTCACAACCTTAGATGTTGTACATCAAACCAAAGCTGGAACTTCACCGAAGGAATTAAAGTGTTCTGATACTAAAGCTATAATCAGTCTTAACATTGATTCAGAAATTAAGTGAGACTGAATCCCCAATATTGTTTCCTCGAGCAACCTAATTCTTTGTGGGRTAATGAATTTTATTATACTTAACATATTGTGAGATTATATGATGACCTGACAGTAGTCAGAATCTAAAATGTTTTGTGGAGCATGTCAGGGATTTTAAATAAATGTAAGCTTTCTTAAAAAAACTCTGTTATTTGGTAGAGCGCTTGCTTTTGGAGAGATCAAAATCAATAGAATAATTTAGCAAGTAAAGAGAGACTGACAACTAGAGAAGTGCTCCGTGAGAAGACAGAAATTAATCTGTTTCAGTGTGACAGCTGAGTGAAGAGTCTGGGTTCTTTCTGATTTTTGTTCTTTCTGTTTTAACTTTGTAGGTTGAAGGGGACCAGTTACCTCCAGGACATACTGTCAGCCAATATGAAACGTGTAAGATCAGGACAATTAAAGCTGGAACTTTGGAGAAACTTGTGGAGAACCTTCTGACAGCTTTTGGGGATAACGATTTTACCTATATCAGTATCTTTCTGTCAACCTACAGGGGCTTTGCTTCTACTAAGGAAGTACTGGAACTTCTCCTTGACAGGTAAGAGTCAGAAGATATTAGAAACTGAGCTTGTTTTTTGCTTGATGGAAATTAAATCCTATCAGGAATTTTGGAAAATGCAGTTTCAGCATAAAGTCAATAATGGCCTTCTGCTCACAACTTAAGAGTTAAGACATGGTCACCAGGATGAAAAAGTGGGAGAATTTGCCTGCAGAGGAACTAAACTGGGACCTGCACAAAGAAATTAATGTAGCTCTTTTCCCCCAGAACTGGAGTGCATTTGCTATCAAGTCATACCTAGTGAAGATGTCAGGCTATCGATAKTCTTACATATTGCTGGGTACTAGGATTTTCAAGACCTAATTCTTCTGTTTGGGGTCTGCTGATTTGAATAGGGACTGCACAAACCTAAGTAAAACTATCTCCTACTATTATTCACATAAATAGCAGGCAAATTTTTGCTCAGTGCTGTAGGACAGCTTCCCTGGTAACATTATTAAACTACATCTGCTCTATCTGTATGAATGCTTAGACAATGTGACAAAAGCTGAGTTTTAACTCAGTCATAACTAGGTCTTAGGTGATCTTGTTTGAGGAGTATGTTATCTATTGCATTTTCAAAATCAAATGATACACATAAATAGTTGTTCTGGGGTATTATATGTAAAGTAGAAGGCTAGCTTTAAAAATCCTAGGGTTTAATTTTGGCTCTCCCACTAGGTAGATATGGAACAAGGCATGTTTAAGCTGTTCATGCCTCTCTTTTGTATCTGAGGAGTGTAATACTGCTTGCCTCATAGGAATGTTATGTGGCTCAATTAACACTGATGCCGAAATGCTTGGCGGCCAGGCCTGCTGTGACTGTAATAACAACTTGGTTGCTCAAGCAGAGTAACTGTGAGAACTTCACAGCCAGGTAAGATGTCAGATGAGAAAAAAAGAGCAGACTGCACAGTTAGCTTTGCTCCTGTGAACATTAATTCTCAGTACATGCCAGCTCTGATTGACAGCGTCTATTTACTGAGAACTAGAAGTGATGAGGAAGCATTTTTCTGAATGTGTAAATCCTTCTGAAAGTTTGATTTTTATTTTGCTTGATTCTGCTTTGGAGATAACTACTTCTGGAGAAAATAGGAAAGGTCACTTAGTTGATGTTGATTACAGGAAGTTAAAGCCATGTTGACTCTCMAAGTGACAACATTTCTTGGGAAGCTTCTGCTCTGTTAGCCTGGAAATTGCTGAACAGTTGCAAATTCACAGACATCAACAGTTGTTTTCATGTACACTGTTTCTTTCAGCTACTAGTGATCCTGTATGGTGAATTTCAGTTTTGGAAGAAGGAACTTTATTGAAAAGGTTTGCATTAAAAAAAAAAAAAAAAACAAACAACAACAAAAAAGCAATAATATTTTTTTCCAATTAAGCCTTTTGCCCAGAATGTGTATTTTAACTACTAGTTCCCTAACAGAGTGTTGCTTTGAGTCTGTAGTTTCCCAGACTTCTCATTCATGCCTTTTGGGGTTCTCCTGTATTAATTTGGTTTATATTTAGGGGAATTTTCTTTCTGTAATGATTGAGAACTTGAGTGGCTCAGGTAATCTAAGTTGGTAGTTAGAGATGACTCTAAACCTGATTGTACAGACTCATAATTTCAATTAAAGACTCCTTCTTGGCTTGAGAGGAGTATGCTGGTGAGCAGAAATATAGGAGTATACTGAGTCAAAGGGAGGATGCAGCTCTTGCCTCGCAGAGACTTGGAGTTTGACCTGGATGCCTGTATGTCATTACATTACACAGATGTCTGTATCCAGTGGCTTTTGTTGTCCTCAGGGCATGGGCAATTTTTATCTTGCACTAGATAATTCACCTCGTTATAAAGGCTGCCATGCATCTGATAGGCAAGGCTAGAATCTCTTATCAAATCTGTTAACCTAGGTTCATGCTGAGCATGTAGTGGTTGGGAGGAAGAAGAAACCTTGGTCCTAGAGGCTACATCATGTCCTTAATGGAAGCTCTTTGGTCAGTGCAAAGCTGTGGGAAGGGGGCTCACACCTTGGTCTGCTGGCCCCTTTCTCTGCTCCTGTGTGGGGGACTGTGCTGAGGAGTTCCCCCTGGCACGGGCTGGCTGCTCCTTGCACGTGCAGTGCCTGGTCTAGATGGGTGCTCCAGGCGCCGTGGCCCAGAAGCCAAGCGCGGCTCCCCGCTGCCCCTGGGCGACCGAGGGGTGAGTTGGGCACTGGGGCTGGGCTCTCCCTGCTGCTGCCTCTCCAGCTTTGTCTCTTGATAAGGGAGCATCAGACTCCAGAGTTGTCAGTTAATGAATGCTGAGATAATTAAATAATCTCTATGCAATTGAGAATTGAAGAATTTTAAACTCACTGTTGGAGCCAGAGGGGTAATCTGTTGCAAGGCAATCCATCCTACAGTCATTTAGCCTATTAGCCACTGTGCTTGTTTAGTGTGTTTCATCACTAGCCATTAAAGTGTTGAGGCTCAGATGTTGGAGCAGGCTGCGCAAAGATCATGGAAAAGTGTTTGGGGAATCTTGCTTCTTCACACAGGTTCTGGTAATGGTTCTGCTCCCCTGTACTTTCCCTTGGAAAAAATGTATCATAAGAAAAATAGAAACCTGCAAGATTAGTGGGACACTGAGGTCATAAAATCAGATACTTACRGAAGAGGAAACTAGGAGAAAAAAACTCAAGATCATGATGAAGTTTACTCATCATATGCTGCAGTTTCTGCTTGCATATTGCTTTTAAATATAGGCACTAATTATGGGATTTTAAAAACAGCCTGAAGAAAGTAATTACTCAGACTCTGAGAACCATTGGTCACGAGATACCTAAACTCTTTAGGCTCCTGTAAAAATCCCAGCTTAATGCAGTAAAGGTAGCTGTAAATTGTGTTTGTGTTGCCACTTAGCTCAGTTAACTCTGCAATTTTAATTTTTAATATTTTTCATATCTAGGAATTAGATCTGTAACGTTATAATTAGATTGCAGCATGGAAGAAGTGGCAAGCCTAATTTCTGAGTCTGATCCGATCTTTCCTAGATTTTCCCAGGAGTGTGTAAGAGGAGTAAAACCAGGAGGAAGCATTAACTGCAAGAAAATTGAGCAGACGGGACTCGCTTCTTTGTTGCCATTGAAATGTGTGTGCAGGTGTTCTGCAATGGATTTCTTTTGAGGATTCAGACAGACAATGGGAAAATTGATACCCTCCTCTGAGAAGTGAGGCCCTTGTTATTCATGGCCGTGTTGGTGATTTGAGGAGAAGGATCCAGGAAAGATGGAGTCCTGTGTGCTGCTGTATGTYCTTGCAGGCTTCTGGGCTGCCTGACCTTGGCTCCATTATCCCCAGCTTTTCYCAATAAATGATAAAACTCCTAGGAAATCCTAAGAGTTCATCTCTCGCTCCCTTCCTTTTTTCCTTCCTCCCTCCCTCCTTCCATCACTGTGTCAGTGTAACACAGGAATCAGTGGATGGTTCTCTTGTTCTGCTGGATTTGGGGCATGGAACATTCTTTCTGGCCAAGAAAGGTGAGATGCTTCTGCCCAAGTGGCAGAGACAAATGCCCAAGCAGCTGCCGTGCTTGAGAGACATGGACATAGTGGGTCAGGAGGGGGGAGAAAAAAAAAAAGAGAGAGAGAGAGACAGAGAGATACTTTTTACTGAATGTGAGTAATTCAGAATAATGTGCACTTTGCTTAAATGCGTCTGCGTCATGATAAGTTTTTGTGAGATCTTCTAACAATTTCCCTAGCCCAGTTGGGCCTTTAGTCTGCTAAAATAAGTGGTGATGTTGTGCCCTGCAGTGTGTGAGGTTTTAGAAGCATTGGGAGTTCAGGGGGTGGCTTTGGCGGTTCTGCTGCAATTCTCACTTCTTCTTTAAGCTGGAGTGCAGTTAGTGGTGTTTTGTCTTGTAGGGCTAGAGACACGCGTGCTACTTGTGTTGCCTTTAATCCTCCTCCCATTGCGTAGGAGAGCAGGAGACTGTGTCCTCCCRAAGCTAAACACCCATGGATTCACTCGCTTCCCGGCAGGAATCACACAAATGCGTGTTGCACTGCCTGGGTTTCTGACTCCCACATCCCGTGCTAGCAGTGTCAGCACAGCAAGACACAAGCAGACCGAGTGCGCAAGGCGAGAGGCTTCTGAAGGTGGATTCTGCCCTGCAGTGTGGGGAGTTGCAGAAAATGTCAAGGAAAAGCTGTAAATTGTTAATATAAATCTCTTTAAAGTACTGTCTTTAATATTTCTCTCTTTAATATACTGAGATTGTGTTACTTGCTTTCAGGGAAACTTTTAACATTTCTTGGAGACTGAAAATCTGCTCAAATTAAGCTTTTGCTCTCTRTTAAGTCTGAGCCTGAAGCCCTATTGATTATTTTGCTTGTATATGGATTTTCCATCAGCATAGAGAAGTGAACCTAAAGGTAATCTTAGGTTAAAGTTCAGAAATCAAAATAAACACAGCTTTGGACCTAGGCTAGTAAATTAAAAAGTGAGAAGAAGGAAGAAGTTTGTATTTTCAAGCTATTTAAGGGCGATTGGACATTCACATCCCTTCAGTATTCATAGAAGTTTGGCAGCTAAATGCACTACACAACTTTGAAAATCTGCCAAGTTGTTAACACTATAAATTCTGGTATTTTATGTTTGTTTAGGAGAAGTTGGTAGGAAAATTGAAAGGAAGAAAAGTTATTTCAGTGTTTTGATGTGTGGATGTTAGATAGAAGCTCTTGGAGTGAGGAAATGGGGCCTGAGAGGCAAAGCAGGCAGGCAAGTACCTCCCACGAAGAAGGGAACGGACACTGTTTGAATGAGGAACTAGAGTTGGAAGAACTGATAGCAGGCAAGTAGGTTCTGCTTTTTCAGTTCTTTTCTRTTGCTGGAGGATTGCTTGCTAGAGTGCAAATGAAAAGTAAACAGGAAGGGAGTATTGAAGGAATCGGCTTGAGTAGGAAGAGTAGGCAGGGTAGGAGAGGATACGCAGCTCTCCAAAAGCTAGAAGAGTCTCRTAATGCCTGTGCCATTTTATGTAATGCAGAGGATGGGAAGATGGGTCAAATCCGAAGGAGAATGAATAAAAAGCCCCATGTACCAAAGTGTCTGCTTTTGTTAATTCTGGTTTTACTGGATCTGGAGTGGAACTTCTTTCCATAGTTAGTTCTCAATGAACCCATGCTGAAAGTTCGGGTAAGCAAATCTGCTGCRTCCAGCTTTTTCTAGGGTGCAAGTGCTGTTTCCCCTGCCCCATTCGCATGAGGAATGGTCCAAGTAGCTCTCTGTTTCATCCCTTTTCATCCATTCCCCCAGATCAGTGATCTCTGGCCATTTCTAGAGCTTCTTCCCTGGGCAGGAATGTTCCGCTTGTGCCATTCGTTTCTTCAGGARGTTCTCAAGAGTGGTTTCTTCAGCTGGAGAGCCCCGGGTTTTAGGACCATAACTTGGTATGGTGTCTTGCCCACTTCTGTTGCTGTAGCATCTCTTCATTCCTCTTTTGTTTTCCTATACACCAGCTAATTTATCATCTTGGCCTCAGTTATGATATTATTTCAGTGATGCTGTGTGGTTATAATTCAAAACACAGTATGATTCCTACGGATTGTCTGTTCTTTCAGTTATTTACTGCTTGTTTTGACATTTGTAGGCTGTCAAACCCTAAATAAGGGATTTGTTTAGGAATTCAGTAGGGAACTGAATTTCCCTTCTTATTTCCTACTAATTTATAGGGCACTTTCTTTGCTCTTCTTCTCTTCCCTTGGCAGAAATGCAGGGCTGCATTTTCAGTTTTTCAGTATTTAAATATTCAGGCCTGGCCATTACATTCTGATCTCATCTGCTTAGTGAGCTCCTTTGATTGGAATCTGTAGCTTCCCAAACGCCGAGTGAGGCTGAAAAGGTCTGTGGGCTCCAGGATCCTTTTGTTTCACATGTCCCTCTTTGTGCGCAGCGCGTTCCGGCCCGCACGGAGTGAAAGCCTCTTTGTCCGGCGCTGGGCCGGTAGGCAGCGACCAGCAGTGCTCCTCTTTGCATCACATATATCATTAACTCCTCCTAACCCGCCTTTAATGCCCTGCTGTTTGTGCAAAGCTGGCTCAGGATGAGAGAGAGCCTGAGGTTTGGCAATACCAGGAAATCTTGCATGCTGCTCAGCTTTGGTACAGAAATTTGCCTGCTTTTTATTACTGTTTTATTGATTTATATCGCAAAAATCAGCATGTGCATCTCTGGTGGGATTTAGATGCAAATGCCTAACATTCTCCAAATTCCTCTCTGCTATTTCACAGAGTACTGGCAGAATGATACCATGAGTCATCTCAATAAATCTTCCTGTAAGAGCTAATGGCAAGTTATGAGAGATGAATATAAAAATCTCACTGTAATTGAAAAATGGAAGCTTTTCCTTGCATGTCCCTCTCAGGAAGGGGAAAAATGTCCTTTTTATCGATTACAAAGTGTTTTGGTTGGGTTACCTAGCAGATAGCTGCGAGCAGTGAAACGCTCTCCCTTGAGCTACAGGAGAGGAGTAGCCCTCATGTTCGTGTGTGCGGTGAATATCTTGATTGGGGACAATATATAGGCCTAGTAAAAGCAAGTTGAAAGCAATAGATTTTAAAATAAATGGAAGCAGGTTGAATTGTACCCCTCAGCTGAGCAAAGCAGAGCTCTCTGAGGTGTTTGGCAGTGTGCCTGTTCGTGCGTCTCCCTGAGTTTATTAAATAGAGAATTGTATTCATTTTGAATTGCAAACACTAGAATAAGTGTTGAGAGTGTGATTGAGGTAAGAGCGGCCAGAGAGGGTAAGTGGTGGATTCAGGCAAGCAGGGGGTTGGAGAGCAGATATTCCTTCAGTTTTGCAGCTTTGGGAGCACTGATCTCCGTGAAATGAGCCTGGGTAGGATGTGTAACTGCTTGGGAGAATATAGGAGAAAGCACAAGCGACACTGCGGCTCCGGAAAAATTCAGAGCAAGACTGACAGCCCTTCTTGTACCAAGTAACAACTTCGTGAGTGTTACACCAAGTAAGGTGTTATTCACTGTGCCTAGAATTAATTTTTACCTTATCGTCAGTTTAAGTAGACATTTTTATTTTTATGCTTGGATTAGCTCACTGAATCATTTATCCTGTTTGTACCTCTATTTAAAGAGACTTTCAATTTTAAGAACTCTTTAAATCCAGGTCTTATGCTTCTGTGGCCCTGTAGTGCCAGTAGTACGGCAGTATCATTTTGGTCTAGCTGAGAAAAATTTAATCCATTAAAAACAGAAGAATCTGCAGGATTTTATCCATGCCTTTTCCCCATGGACTGATTAAATGAAATGCTGACATTCTGGAAATCTTCCCCACTGACCCAGGAACCCTCACCTAGTTGCAGCAGTGCATTGGACAGGCTGTGCTGCTATGATTTTGTTCTCAGCTTTAGGGACAAACTTGTGGTAACAATTTATCATTTTTGTTGTGTCTCTGCACAATGTAGAGGTGCCAGACTGAGTTTTCAATGAGCTGTCTCAGATAATGCAAATGGCTTCACCATAGTATTTGCAAGGTTAAATAAGCCCAAGCTAACTCCTTACAACTGTGGCTACTTTACTTCTGTTGGGTGGATTACCAGCTTAGTTTGAGTTTGCTTTGTATATGTGGCCAGCTTGTAATGGAGAATGAGATTGAATTCAATTGCACTAGTTGTTTTTCGTTACAGATCTGTGATTCTTATATAAAGTTGTAGGCTGATATCTTAGAGGAGCATAAAACTGCCATCTCTTCCTTCTGTCCATCTAAATACTTTGGATGAATTTGTTATGGTTCTGCCATGATCCTTCTGTGTACAAGCCAGCAGCCCTTGGTATTTTCTTTATCTTATCCTGCTCAAACATATCACAAACACTTGAAGACTCGTGTATGCACTTGCCATGTTCGCTGTGTTCCAATTAACTGCAGGTGCCTCACAAGCAAAATTATTCAAGCACACTGAAATGCGTAAAATCAGCTTGCCTTGTTCTGGACTGAGAGTAGCTGTCCTCCTTCATTAAAGCTGGCTGTAATGAACCATTAAATTCTTTATGGAGCTGTGTGTGAAACAATGAGCACCCGTTTTGAAAGCGCGAGCACCTAATCCTGCCTCTGAGGCACAGGCGCTGCACGCGGAGGTGACAATCTCAGAGCTGGAGTTGTGCCTGCGGTTGCCTCTTTCCCCCTGGTATTCTCACTCCACTACAGATCACTAACGTCAACTGTGCCAGTGGTGTGGGCAAAAGTGGCTGTAGCTTTGTTTGGTAGCTTTGGTAGCTTTGTTTGGTAGCTTTGTTTGAGATAACACCTGGAGCTGGAAGGAATGACAGATACTAGCAAAATGGACTGAGGAGGAGAAAGGGATTTGTTCAGCCCCACTATATGCTGGAAAATCGCTCTGAGAAAGGATGGGGTGAAAACTGGCAGCATCCTGGAGCTGTGAGCAAGGAAACTTCTGCTTCATCTTGCATGCGGGCAAAGAGGACTCTGTATTTCATATATGCAAACAGGCTAGGTTTGAAGATACTGCTCTCTCTTTAGTAATTTTTCCTTCTAAATGAAGAAATATTCCAGTGCCTTGCCCAGCTGTGAGATTACACACTTAGAGTTTGTGCTAAAACCTCTCTTTAACTGTTTGCAATAATTGTATAAAACTTATGTTATTTGGCCTTTCTTATTCAATAGATGTTGCTCTAAACACCCATCTTGTTCTTTAGGTATGGAAACCTGGAGACCTCAAGCTGTGAAGATGATGGGAATCAGAATTCCTCCGGGTCCAAAACAGTACTCAGGAAGTAAGTGTGACTTTTCCTYCTGCAGCGAGGCCCAGTCAGACCCCTTGCCATCAGAGTATGTGGGGAGAGCAGCTGTTGTTTCCCTTGGAAAATACATGGTGCTCTTTGCTTGCTGTTCAAAAGGCCCAATACCAACAGTCTGTAACACATCCCTAATACAGCCCCCGAACCCTTCCGTCAGGGAGACTGTCGCAGAGGTGAATGTGTTATACCTTGCTAGGCCAGTGGTTTTTGGTTAAACATGCAAGGGATGTTTGTTTTCCTTGCTTAACTTATCTGCAGCAGTAAATGGCTATTGCTTTTGACTGATTTCATTACCACAGTGTCTGCAGACAGCTAAGGTTGCATTAGGTGTTGTGCCTATACGTGTATCTTCTCCCTCAGTGTCCCATGTGATTTACTGTGGTGCTTTTAAATACTTCTGCCATCCTGTGTTGCAGGAAAATTTGCAAAGCTGTCTTACAATTTTGTTTAAATGAAAAGGYGGCTTGGTTTTTTATTAGTATCATGTGCATCGCTAGTATCACATTGCATTTTATCTTCATCCACTGGGTGTAAAAGGAATGCCAGGTCATCATTCATTTTTTTGACATCTGCGACTTGCATACATTCTGGAAGTAGAAAGTAGCTGAGTGGTTGTATTCTTTTACAGTATTTGGAGATGCCTGATTCTTGTCAACATTGGTCAGGATTGTGAGTTTTCCTATAATTCTGTCACAGCTTCTATTGGTTACGAAAACCTTAAATAGAATGTTATCCTTGTACTGATTTGGCAAAAGTGTGGTGGAAGATGAAACCTTAAAACTTAGCCTCYATTTGTTTAAAATAGGAAAGAAAAAAACCCACCTTTTTTTAATTTCCTTCACATGAAATACACAGTCCAATCAAGAAATATGAGAAAACTGCTGCAGTATATTTTTCATTCCTAAGATTTAGATTAATGGGACAATAGCATTGCATGTTTACTCAAATTATGTTTTGTTTTACAATACTGGGATCTGTCCTTCACACTACTTGCTTCTGTGATGACCTGTGTGCTGGCATAGGGGTTTCTGAATCTGGTTTAGAATGATTCCAATATTCCTGATCCAGAAATGTGCCGTTAATGGATCAAGCATCTTCCTGCCCTGCACTGTGTGAAGTGAACAGTTAGACYGTGGGGTTGCATTGCCTCGTGTCATCCTTTATGAAATCGTTTTGCTTAACACCGCAGATGAACTGGTAAAGGCTCCTCCTTCACGGGAATTCAGCTTTCTGTGAGGACAGAAATAACTACGTTTGTTTGATTGCAGAAAAAAAAAATCTAGAGCTTTAACTAGAACTGTAAATGTTATGGTATTTTCAAAAAATACTATACTTAGCTAACAAGGAATAACATTTTGTTATAAGAATAAAGAAAAAAAATCAGAAAGGCTACAAACTCCAGTGGTTTGGGATGCTGTTCTTGCCCCTTGAGATTTCACCAGAGCTCAAATCCCACATTCTTTAGTGGGTGACATTAAGAGAATGATCTCCTTTTTCATCTCATTTTGTCAYCAAAGACACACTGAAGAACAGATGATAGCTTCAACTTGCTCCCAAGCTTTAAGAAGATGATCCTATGTAGTGGGTTGACACACCAGGGAGCCAGTAGCATTCTAGGCTCCCATCCAAAACAGGCAACTCTTGGGCAGCCATTTAACCTCCTCTTAATTAAAAGCATATTAGTTTTTAAAGCAGAGTTGTTTTTCTCCTTGCATACAGTTTAAAATATAGTTGCTTTCCGCTGCCTCCACACTGCCCTCCCTCTCGTCATCTCCCTGGCCTGTAAGTCCTTTGCACAGGCAGTGAGTGACAAACTGATGGAGCTTGTGTTCCTGGGCAGCCCAGCTTGTGGTGAGTCTGWCTAAGGCATAACTAGCATGAGGTGTTGATCACAGTTAGTTTGATCCTTTGGCCCTCATGGAAAAATACTTTTTACATGTGGATTTGAAACCAGCTATTTGTAGGAAGTTTGATAATGAAGTAGACAGCAATGCACGTCATCTGTATGTGTTTTAACTGATTTGGTACAAATGTAAATTTACTTTCCTGCCTTAAAAATTTCCATTACCTCTCAGTTGCTCTTGCTACTTGTCTCTTAGTTGTGATTAATGGACCCTGGAAAAGAGGTTGGCTTTGTAAGGTGGTGGTGAAACATGTAGTTCTAGTAGTTCAGGTTTTCTCTTGTCTGAAGGTAATTCTAACGTAATTGCATTTACCCTCTTCTCTCATAGAACAGCAATGCGGTGTTGTGCTCTGCTTTATAGGACTTGGAGAAGTAAGAGGAAGTAGGACCAAAGCTATGATATTTCTTGCCTTTAACTCTGTATTTCTCCGAGACAGACTGCCCCAGTGGGGGTTACATAGTTGGAGAGCAGCAATATTCTGCATTGATTTTTATCAGGCTCCTGTTGTGGCAATTTTCTTGTTTAAAATTCCACTTGGGATGTTAGAAACTGCCATGAAATTTATAACATTTCCACTGGTTTTATTAATAAAAATGCTACAGAAATGCTAGAAAGTTTAAAAGTAGCTTCAGGAGAAAAAAAAAAGTATGGCTTTTTAAAGATCTTATGAAACTTTGCTGCAAAATATTTTGAGTGAGAGGAGTATTAGGGCCTATATGCTGCCCTGTAATTCCACTAGTTACTTCTTTTGACACTGCAAGTCTCTGCTGCTTGTGCTTGTGGCATGGAGTTGGGGTGCATTTTGAGAAGGAAAATGTCAAAGGCATTTGTCATTTTTTTCAAGCTCAGTAATCCAGGTTCCCTAATTTGCAACTTCAAAAGTTATGAGTAACTTCTCAACAGCATTATGTATTTYGTCAGCTTAAAAAAGTAAAAAAGTGACATGCATTTACTGGTCGAATGTCTGAGTTTCATGGACTTTAGCCTGTGTTCCCAGAAATCTAGTGTATCGGCTACCTGATAAGAGCCTTGTAAGGAGGGACTTGTTTGACCCTGTTTTAAAAGATTCTTTTCACTCTTCTTCCTTGCATCATGTAAACAGATTCACAGTTCTGCCTGTGCTTGTGTCAGAGTGTGACCAAGCTCCCTCCTCCTCCTCCTAGTGATACAGTCCTGGTCTTTGAACTTCTTTGTTTACTAGGTGTCTTTTGCTCAGGAAATCTCTTGACTTTCAGAGGGCAAATAACATACACCACAATAAAACACGTGGCAGTCCAAAATAGAACCATACATCATGCAAACATAAATGAAAACTAGCAGTATGATGAGTAGCTTAAAGAAAAACTTACTAGTTAAAGATGGGTCCGAATGATCATACATGTTTTAGGGAATGTAGAGATACCCTTACTGTAATTTTGCTGTTTTTGAGTTTTTCTTTCGTGCGCGCACGCGCGTGTGTGTGTGTGTGTGTGTTAGGGAGGCTGAGGGAAAAGTTGCAGAGTTCGAGTGCTTTGATACATGTCACCCAATAAAAAAGTAATGAAAGAAAAAGTAGATCAAGAAGAAATAAAGTACTTTTCCAGCTCGTGTCTGATACACAGACTCTCCATACCTCATGGGCAGTAGTCATGGGAAACTGGAATGAGATAGTAATGAAAAAGAGATTTTGAGCCCCTGATATATTCTGGGAAGGGGATCAGCCAGCCAGGTACCTATTGCTGTTTTGGGATTTTGGGTCATATTGAAACCATATTRCATTTAAGATAGAAACAGCGCTTTTAGTAATGTGACATGATCACTGTGATCTCTGTTCAAAGAGCAGAATTGCTCAGTTAACTTTTAACTCTCTGTCAAAAGGTTGACTTTTCTCTGCAAAATGATCTGTGATACATTTTGTGCCCATTTCAGCCCTGCTCCTTTGAGGTGGTTTAAAGCTTGTGCTGTGGCCAGCTCCAGCGCTGGCAGCCGCTGCAGCAAGGCACAGRCTCGTGCATTTAAGGTACTAAAGGCCCTCAACGCTTCCTTCCCATCTGATAAGCACTCAAGGCCCTCCTGGAGCTTGCTGAGGACAGAGGCAAGTGTGAAGCATTTGAGCATGTGAAAGATAAAACCTTGGCTCTGCTTAACTGATATGGGGAAGCCTCTGGTTAGCTGTGAGAGTGCAAGGCGAGTGCGGAGGCCGCGTGCCCATGACGCCGTTCAGGCTGTGGGGCCAGGGTTACTGAGGGAGCCCGTCCTGAGCCTGCTGCAGGAGACTGCAAGATTCCTGCCCATGAGGTTCCCAGGAGAGGAGATTCTGCCGTGTGCCACAACTCGGGAACGGCTGCTCTGGCAGTGCCTGCAGGCAGGGAAGGCTGTGTGAATGGGAACGGAGTCCACGCTGTGCAGCCAACAGAATGAACTGTGTTTTGATGCCTTTTTTTTTTTTTTTTTTTTTTKTYCTCCTTTWTWTGAAACAAAAGAATKYTTAAGAGYTTTTWTAAATCCCCAGTAAGGCTACATTTCTCAAGGATACTAAAGAAAAAAGGATAGAGGATAGAGCTGGAAAATGGTCTGCTGGCTGTAGTGGGAATTTTCAAATGGGAATTTAAATATCTTTCTTTAACTCCCCTTCCTTCCCCTGGCTACTTCGTGCACTCATATCCCCAGTGCTGTAAAAGGAGGATTCCTGCGGGAGTCCTCTTGGCTGACTGGGAAACAGGAACAGTTTGTGTAGAGCAAAGAGAGAGGAGCTTCACACCCCCTAGCTCTCCTCTTCCACTGTTCCAGGCACCAACATGGCAGCGGCCTGAGCTTTAAATCCCAAATATGCGAGAACAGCAGTTGAAAGTGCTGTCAGGCCTCCTCTTGGTGTATGAGGCTGTGGTTTTCTTCTGCTACTGGCTTCAGCTTGCAGCCTTGGAGTGAATTCAGCGGACTGACAGGTCCCAGAAGCGAAGCAGAAGGCTTGGGGCTGTTSTTGCCTTGAATGTTGAGCCCTAACTGCATCTGCTTTATTATCAAAATGTGGAATTTATTTGTTGTCAAAACTTGGGCTGTGGCGCATGGTGGGAAACCACAGACAAAGCAAGTCCACGTGGAGCTGCAATCTGCCCACTTTGGTCCCCAGCACTGGTGTAGAACTGCTAAAACACAGAGGAATTAAAGAACTTAGCTACCCCAGGATATGTTTTGCCAGCTTACTCCTCCTYGTCTACATTAAAATAGACAGTGCTGAAGCCCTCACAGTGCTGAAGCCCTCACTGTGATACTGCAGGAGCTGGAGTTTGCTGTGGGATCAAGCATCGTCCCAGACATTTGTGTGYGGTGAGACCGTCCTGGGGAAACTGCCATGTGTTTCCTGGGCACATTAACGTTCCTGGTGGGTAACAGTGTGTGCAGTTTAAATAGCAGTAGATGGAATTGTTGTTCTCTGCCAGAACAGACACCAAAGGAATGTGAGACAAATGAAACAGAGGTGCTGGGGAGTTTTGAGCCCGGGAAGGCCATGGCGGGAAGCATTTAAAGTTCATTTGGGAAAGCAGCAGTCAGCATTCGTTCTGGTAAAGCCAATTAAGCTAAAACAACAGCAGGGAGCAGGGGGTTACATTAGAAGCAGAGTTGAACACGGCAGTATAAGCAATGGAAGAGGGGGAAAGAACTACTAAGAAACTAAGAAAACTACAATCAAGCAAAAAGAATGATTGGAAGAGCAAAGAGAAATAATGATTGGCTTCTCAGCTAATGCAATGCAAAGCTGCAGAGCTGTTCCTCAAGCAGCTTCCTGTGTCCTGCAGAAAGGCATCCCACCTCCTTGTCCTGCAGCCTTTCCTAAACGGAGACAGGAGCAGAACATGTGCTATGACTCACCGCAGTGCTAATTAAAAAGGGGCTACATGGCAGGAGCTACTGTCTTATGAGTCTATTGCCCTGATCTAAAGCTAAGGTTCAGGTTTTGAAGAATGCAAACAGCGAAGCTCTGCACAGTATGTAGCAACCAAAACTGAAAAAATACAGCAGGCTTCATGTAGTTTGTGTGAGCGAGACTGAAAGCCATTGCATGGAAAGTGGAGAGAGGAAACAGCCTTCTGTAGAGGTCATCCCAGTGGTGGTTTTAGCATTGGCTTGGAGAAGCTCAGAGAGGTTCTCCTTGTCCCTATCCCTAATTTTGTAAGAAATTAGTTGCTTATTCTCTTGCAAACCTCACATCTCCTAAGGTTTTTCTCCTTAGTCATTGACATTCCTGTGTACTCRCTCTTTAGCGATAGTTGTGGCAGGAAAGCAAGCACTGACTTTGCCTTTTTGGCAAGAAGCAGTCTCTTCAGGACTAGGGCTGCAGCTGTGTTCCAGGTTCGGAAGGGCTACGCTGAGTTTCTGGGTAGCCTGTTGCCTGGCTCCTAGCTGGGATATGAAGTTTTCCATTTCCTCCATGCTGAGCTCAGGAGGCACTGGGAGCTGCCCTAGTGTCCCCACCTGCCCAGCAGCGTGTGGACAAGAGTGCAGGGACGAGCTGGTTTTGTTCACCCAGTTGGCTGTGGCAGAACCAGGCATGCTCCTTTCCCTTATCCTAGGAGATTTTAAGGCCTCACACATCCAGAAATGGGCTCCGAGTAAATTCTACTTAAAAAAAAAAAAAAAAAAAGCCTAATAGCTGCAGAACTTGTGAGTCTGAGCTAGAATGGAGCCCAGAATTTGCAGTTGTCAGGCCAGTGACATTGAAAAGTGTTTGCTTACAGCCTACAAACGTGGAAAGGAAAAATTTATAGCTCATAATCAGCTCATGAAACGTGGATGTGTCTTTCCTGTCTGGACTCTTGGAAGGCTCCCATCCCTGTTGGCCTCTGGGTCTATCAAGTACAGGCAGTTTCTTCTCAAGGGCGCCCGACGTAAAACTGCTGCAAGATACAGGCTCTTCTGCAGGCCCTTCCTTTCCTGACGTGCCCACCCCAGGCACTGCAAGGGCAACAGGCCAGCCACAGCGTTTGTACCATTTCCCTTTCCTTTATCCTCTCTTGACTGCAATTATTTTGCTGGCAAAATCAGTGTCTGTAACTACTGTGAACTTTTCACCCTGCTCTGGGAGGCTGGGGCTGTGTTAAACTCTGTTTATTCTTTAGTTTATGAAAGTGGCCGTCAACCAAGGTATGTGTGAGTAACATCCCAACACTAAAGCATCCTGAGGAGCAGCTCCTTTTTCCAAGTCATTGCCTAACGGGTAACCACTCATAAGAATACCTAGCCTCTTTTTTTGCCTGATACTTAACTCAATTTAACAATTTATTGTTTGTCTTTTCATAACTTTTGGTTTATTTTGGGTGTTCCTGAGCAGCTGAGCTGACTCAGTGTTACTGTAGTTTCCCCCCTTGTAGAGCAGGTGTGGCAGGACCCGCTTGCAGCTTTGCTTGAAAGCTTTTTCAGTTGCTCCTGTTTGTCCTTGGGTGGTGTGATTTGACTGCCCCTTTTTGCCTTCAGCATAAAACTAAAAAAGTAGCCCATGAAATCTAATTTCTGCTCATATATTTTTACATTACACATTTTATCATAAGCAAAATCACAAAACTGGGCAGTGGGGATTGATGGGAGGAAAGCACCGAAGTTAGTGTTTGATTTAGCACTTCCGCTGGGCAGCTGCTGCCAGAGGAAGCCAAGAGGAGCCCTGGAAAAACCCTCTTTCCTCTCCTGTTTTTCTGCAACATCCCAGGGAATGGTGGCTGTGCAAACCCTGCAGCTTCTCTGGGGCACAGCTTTTCCTGATGGCATGGGAGTATATCAGCCCTAGAGTTATGTTGGAATTGTGTTGTGCTTTTGARGGTGAGCACAGCATCTGCTAGGTATTCAAATGTGGTCACAGTACAGCCAAGCAAAAATCTCCTACAACCAGAGAATTGTCTTTGTGTTTGATTTCAGTGCGATAGCATCAATYTTAAGAGCCTGGCTTGACCAGTGTTCTGAGGACTTCAACGAGCCCCCCAACTACCCATGTTTGCTGAAATTGCTGGATTATCTGAAGAGAAGTATGCCCGGCTCTGACCCGGAGAGGAGGGCGCAGAACCTCTTGGAGCAGTTCCAGAAGCAAGAAGTGGAAAATGACAGTAAGCTCCCTTGCAGCTTCCTCCTTCCTTTCTGTTCTCCCAGCCTGTATGCCAACGCAGGAGTTTTTTATTAACTGTCCTGCTGACTGATAGTATCTTGATGCCACTAACAAAGTCAGGTTCACCGGAGACTTGTGAATGAGCCTGCAGGTTGTTGGGGGGAGTCACGGGCTGTAGGTTCCTTTGTCTGTTCCTTGAGGGAAAATTGGGAAATCTCACACTTCGGATATTCAGCCAAAGCCTGGGGATTGCTGCAGCAGCTAAGTGCTTAATTGTCACAGCTTTCCCATATCACTGAATTAAAACTCAAGGCTGCTCTTCAGCTGGCTTTTAAAAACAAACAAACAAAAACAAATAAACAAAGAAAAAAACCCCTCAACCCCCAAATAAAAAGCTCATCTTATTGGGCTGTGACAAAATGCAGCCTGAGTCACAAGCCCTGTTGTCATGAAGCTTTTCTTCCTAGTTACCATCATGTCAAAGGAAGTGCCTGTGGCTGTTTTTTCCTATTTGAGTGGCTGGCTGCTAGTATCCAAGGACAGAGGAAAAACTTACGTTATTGGGGGTCACAATCCACAGAAACAATAGTGAGCTGTGGTAACACAAATATGCTGTGTGCAGCGTCAAGCGTGACACATCGCCCCTGCCCTGGTTAGAAAGTTTCCTGTGGCCTAAGCTGAAAAGCTGCTGGAGCTCACGCAGTGCCCGAGTGAAAACTAGAATCAACTTCCAGCTTTGGCAGAGGGCGAGGGTGAACAATTCATAAAGTAAAGGACAAAGGAAATGACAGAAAAGAAATATTTCATCCCAGAAGATCCTAGCTGCCGGATGTTCCAGAAATACCATGTCAGTGCATAATGTGGAGAAGGGCCAAATAAACTCAGTCACTGGCACATGTGTAAAAGGGAGTAATGCGCAGAGCCCAAATACTTTCCTTACTGAACACAGGTAAGTGAACAGTGTTGCTGGTATGTGCTCTTTATATTCTTCCCTGGTTCTCACAGGGCAAACCAAGACACTTCAGGAGGGACTATATTTAGATGCAAGTGTTGTTAAGAGTGAGCAGAAGTTCCCAGCAGCTCTGCTTGTGCATTTGTTTCCAGAAGGAACAGAGGAAATGGTTCCTTTCTGAGTTACAGGTCATTTGAATTGTAACGTTTTCCAAACTGTGGCACAGGAGAGGTTGTTAATTGAAATGAAACATGAGGAGGGGAACACAATAATCATTAAGGGTCTATGGAGAAGAGTTTTAGGCCTATCACTTATTTTTTATCATATCTATGCTGTTTCAGAGATTTCATTCAAAACTCCTGTGTTGTCTGCAAGTGACTTGTTCTTCTACAGCATTTTTGTTGTGCTGTAAATTTGCAAATTCAGGTTCTCATTATGTGGTCTGATTTGTGCAGCAAGCCCTCCATACAATGCTGCCATTTTCCAGGCAGCAGATTAGATTGCGGTATCAGGTACAGAGATAAGACACATTCCCTTCCACAGAGAGGCGCAGGCCGGGGCAAGCTGCGGATCAAAGGGGCCTGTGGCTGCTATCAGTCAAGTCAGGAGAGCACAGGGGCTTTTGGAGGGCTCAGAGGAGCAGAGTTATTTGTAGAGGATGAGGTACTCTCCATGTAAAAGAATTCCAGCTTTTGGGTAGAGCAAACTGGTTACACATTATGAAGATGAGGGAGAAGGGGGAAAAAGAGGCATGGGAAAGGAGAAGCTCACATAATGCTCAAGGAGCTGATTTAGAGGGAACTGTGAGTCCTTGAGTAGGATTGCAACTCAGTAATGAGGATTTTGACTTGAATTTAATGAACTGAAAGGAGAATGGGGGGGGTTATGCAGCCAGAAAGAGAGTTTAAAGTCCATTTAATTGCATTTATTATAAATAAGTCACAGAAAATAAGGGTGGAGTGGAGGTTTCCATTTATCTCATTTAGCTCTGTCAATAAATTGTGCAATTGGAATGTCCAGATGGAAACCTAGATACAGCCAATAGCTACAATTTGTGACATCAAAACTGTAGCAGTTTACGTTGATAACTAGGTTTTGGAAATTACTGAACAAAAACAAGTATTTCAAAAAATGATCAAGTATCACATTATCTACTCTTGTAACTTTAATATTTGTTCTGCTTTAGTAGGATATRAAGTATTTCGCAACACAGTCTGAAATGTTCTGCTTGTTTTGATTAATGCAGTCTCACTAGTAATAAATCCAGTACTTTTGCTGYAACTCTTCAACAAGTAGGAAAAAAACAATCTATTTTTTCATTCTTTTGGTCTTTTTACAATAAAAGAGATAAAGAAGCAGATTTATTTTCAGGGATTTTCTGCTTAAATTCCTCCTTTACCATGGAAAATAAGGACATATTTCTTTGTCTTTCAATGTGGCTTTGTTCCAAAACCTTTGGGAACCCGAAGATGGCACAGAGCATCTGTGAAATCCCTTCTCTTGGGTGCTACATCTGCTCCCTCAGTGAAGAGAGCTCTCCTCTCTCACCTCACGACTGCTGCTCCTGGCAAGTTTGGAAGTGTTCAGCTGAACACTTTACATGCTCACTGTATTCCTTTTTCTGGGAAGACTTCCCAGAGGAGGAAGGTGAGGAGTATTGGAATGTCCTCCCTTCACTATAATTCTTGCAGCCCTGTGAAGGTGAGAATGATGGCAAGAGAATCTAAATCTCATATTTCCTTTCCACGCAGGAGAGAAAATTGTAATGTAGGAGCATCCTTTATGCAATATTTTGGAGTATAACTACAATATAGTCCCTTTGTAAATTGCCTTTTTTTTTCAGATTACAAAATATACAAATAGTGAAAGTATATCAGCAATGTTGTAATACTAATAAGAAATATTTGTCCTCGGGCAAAAAAAATTGTTCTTTCAGAACAGTGAATGTCAGTGCATGGATTGAGCCACTCTTCAGCTAAGAGACCCTGAATATACCTTTTTCTTTTCCACCTTTTGTACCTCCAAAGTATTTTTCTGCTCATAGTTTTTTCCTCACTAAAATCTGTAGCACCCTGAGGCCATTACATCAGATAGGACCTTTTGGGGGCTCTGCTAGAGTACATGTACTATAACTTAAAATAAAAATAAGTCATTTTAATCACTGTTTGTTATATGAACTTACCAAGTTATATTTTCTATCCTGCACAGATGGGTTCCATAGCACTTCGCCATGTAATCTAGATGATGAAGAGGAAATGGAGATTAGTGGTCCAGAAGAATTCTCTTTTTTCCAAGAAGACCTTGTGGCAGAGCAGTTGACATACATGGATGCAGTATGTAGAGCATATGGATTACTTGAAAGGATAGGGGTAACAGTGATCGACTTCTAAAATCTTTTTAGAAGTTTTTTAAAATCTCTAAGAAAAGCATTCCAGAACAGGCCTGTGCTCGGGCTGCAGAGCACAGCTCTGCTTAGTTAGCCAAACCTGCTTCATTCACGGGACTGTTTCCTTCAGGTGTTTTGAAGTCTCACCTGTACTGGCTAGCCTTTTTTATGCAGGTCCAATTTGAAAAATATCCCTCTTTGATTATATCATTTACCTGGCCTAAGGTTGCATAGGTGCTGTCCTTGTTCTTCTCTGATTTGGCTTGTGTGAATCAGTCTCTTCTAAAATGCCATTATATAAAAATTTTCCCCTTGGTTTTTCCTTSGTTTGGTACACAAGTGTCTCTTGTTTTGCAGACCTATTTAGCTGACAGTTCTTTTCTACCATCAAACCTATAAAGAATATACTAAAATATAATTTAATCTAAGAGAAAATAAATATTTTTTAGTGCCAACCTGGACTAGATCTATTGGATTGTAAATGGTAAATGTACATTTTTGCTATGTAGATTAGAGTCTTGCTGACTGATTTATATCTCTGTGTCACTCTAGAAGCTCTTTAAGAAAGTTGTGCCCCACCACTGTCTGGGATGCATCTGGTCTCAAAGGGATAAGAAAGAGAACAAGCACCTGGCACCCACCATCAGAGCCACCATCTCTCAGTTCAATGCAGTTACCAAATGTGTTGTCAGCACTATCCTGAAGAGCAAGGAACTCAAAACACAGCAGAGAGCCAAGATCATTGAGAAGTGGATTCATATTGCACATGTAAAGCATTTATTCTTGATTGTTTCACATTCTTTGTGCAGGGGCCTCTGAGTGACAGAGCTGGCAGGAGGGAAGGAGAGGGATMCCCTGCTTTTTTCTCTGCCATCTTAGTTATTTTTCTTGACACYAACTTTCTTGGTAGTGTCAGGTAAGGCACTGCCTCTCTTCTTGCCAGTTCTGCACTGTGGAAATAAGGTTGATGCTGCTGCTTCACAGAGTTGGGAGCACTGACTGATGAGGGAGATGCTCTACCCTGCACAGTACTTGGTAACRTAACATTTATGGTAAGATAGGTGTAAATTCAGCCAATCCAGTTTCCTGAGAAGACACTACTGGTTATCCCAGAAGGCAGTGCTGCTCTGTCACCCTGAGACTGGGCTTGATTTCAGGTGAGGGGCTGGCAGCAGCTGAGCAGAACTGGCCCTTGTGTCCGCAGAGTGACACAGTCAGCTTTGCGCTTGCCTGCCCTTGGCTGTTGCTCTTCAGTTAGTGACTCCATCTCCTCCTTCTGTGAACACTGTAAGCCTGGGAGTCAGGTGCAGTGGAAGACACAGTGCAAACTGCTTGTGTTTACATGTATATGAAGGTAAACTAAATAGTGAGGCTTAGGTAAGTGATTACAGACAAAGCTCATTTACTTCTAACAAGTATTGTAGTCTTTCTAACATGGAAAAAAAAWTAAATTATTGTTCGCAGTCTTTTGTTTTGAAATAATTCGTGAAGCTCAAGGGTTTGTTTACTTAATTATACACTATTTACATTAGGTATACAAACTGGTTGATATTATAGCAACAAACAAAAAGGTCAGAGAGTTACAATACGGTAYGTGGCTCATGATCCGTGATTGATGTCTCTCATCTTTTTGTTTTGTCATTGTCTTTCCTTTATCTTTAACACATTTTTACTCTTTCCTCCAAGACAAAGGAATTGAAGCACATTCTATGTGTTTCTTCATCTTTGCATGAAATGGTTTTGCTTCTTTATGTAACTATCATTTGCTCATTTCTTAGATACTCTCTTTCTTTTGCTGTAAACTTCCTAAGCTCCTCTCCTTCAGAACATTGGACTGTTGGCACTAAAAGGAGATCTCTTTTTTAAAAGAACATTAAAACACTTCAATATGGAGGTATGCTGACTTGGTTTTAAGAATCACATGGAGTCTTTCAAAGCTATACAAAATTAGCAGTTATAAAAAGCTCAAGCCAAACAGGGGGCCTGCCAACCCTGACAATGCACTTCTGTGCTTCCAGAGACAGCATTGTTAGTGCTGGCACCGTAACTCACACAACTGCATGGTCCAGGAAACTGGTATGGGGAAATAGTCTTTCACCTCTATTTTGGCACTTACGTCTACTTGCTTTTATTATCATCTGATGGCTGCTTTATAGCCCATGTGAATGGATTAGGAAGTTTCACTCCCATTTTCTGTGTGCAGGCCCCCAGGTCACAGAGGGTACCAGCTAAATGGGCCTTTGCAGGGCTCCCTCGGCTCCACTCTGAGAACAAGATCCATGCAGCTCCCTGCTCATYACGGGGGCAGCAGGAAGGTCTGGGGAAGCTGGTCACTCTCATGACCTTGGTTTTTGGATGGAGAACTTTGTTCTTTACTGCTGTTCATCCAGTACCTCTCCCTTAATTCATATGTGTAATTAAATAGTTATAAATGTGTCTTAGCTAAGTACATGAAAAATGCATGCACACGCTCTACAAAATAATGGCACATGTAGAACAGCGACTTACAAACATACTTAGCTGTCCACTTCTAAAGGAAGTTGCTTGCTTTCTGCATGCAAATGAGTGTCTGAATAGTTAGAGGCCTGAATTAGAAAATAATCCACTCATTAAAGTGCAGTTACTCACTGACAGCTAACTCAGTAACTTAGCAGCGTGATGTTCCCCAGGTGTTATCTGTTCATGATCTTCTAATCCAGTCTCTTAGATTGCCAGGTAAATTGAATACTTGAATACTGCTAGCGCCTTCAGCTCCACCTAAATCTAAAGTTCCTGAGCAGGAACAAACGCAAAATACTTTCTTTAAAAAGAACCCTGCTATTTTTTTAGTCAAAGTTGTTTCTCACCAATATGTCCAAGATTCTTTCAGGTTTCCACCTTCTGAAGGACACAGCATGAAACAAAGCTGTTCAAAGCATTTTAAAATTTGTTCCTAAAATTTGTGCATAGAAATGAGTTTTGTCTGTAGTCAGTTAAATCATTGGGAACACAAAATTCAGTATTTAACTCCTAATATGTTAATAATTATACAAAATGCATTTAAGTCAAACTGGTTTCAGACTGGAATTTTCTGTTGTGTTTGACAAAACTAGATGTTAAGGATTTGTGTCTCTAAATCCATATTCCCTCCWGCCTGAGTTCCAAGTTGAGTATAAAGAAGGGTTTTGTTCTCAAATGTTGCTGTGTCAGTCCCTTAAGAAGGGTGGCACTGTCACTGCCATGGCCCCAAATCATGCTGGAATAGTTTATGGGTCATGGATGTCCTACCTCATGACCTTGAGCTGAGTGATGGTCTTGACCTACCCTAACTGCTGACCTACTGTAGAGCTCTCTGCCTTGTCGGTCTTTTAAGCCACATTTTATTAAATGCAGCCTCCTACACTGTGCAAAGATACTTGAGATAAGTTTATGGGAATAAACGTACTTCCTTGAGCTGTACAATCAATTCTCATGCAGAACTCATGAGCAGAGTTACAAGTATATTAAGGGCTGATACTAAGCTCACTTTACATTTCTTCAGTCCTACGCAGAGATGTTACAAAGGAAACAAATTGTATTTATTTTCACTGTAAGGATCGTTTTCATAAACCGCATTATGCAGACTTACCTTAGTATAATAATCAGGCCCATAAAAATCTGCAGGGTCAGAGTTGTAGTTTGAATATGATCTCATTCATATGCAACAGTGGAATTGGTGTGTTTGGTCTGCTTAATTTACATGTGCACGTACCTGTTTGTGAGGGCATGTAAAGGCAAGAGCTGTCTTCAATCTGTGGCTCCCGTGCTTTGATGCATGAGCCACCAACAGATTTAGAGGAGTCCTGCAGAGGCAGCTGGTCACAGGTCCAGTTTCTCTCTGCTTCCTTTTGTGTGTTTTAGCAGCAAATTAAGCTGCTCTTGTAGGACRGTATTTTCCAGTATACTTTTTCCATAGAAGATTTTGTCACAGGGGTTGCATGAGAAATGTCTATGGGCCAATCTCTATGTTAGAATTTGATCCCAGCTCTGGAGAAGTTGGAAAGGTTTTCTCTTAAACAGTGCACGTACTTGTAAAACAGGTTATTCCTTTGCATGTCTTTTTATTTTTAATTGACACTTAGATGTTTGAGAGTTAACATTTTAAATACTACATACAAAGAGGCCAACCCTGATTTTTTCCCCTAAAGGGGTAAGAGTGACTGGTAGCTATAAAGGGCTTTCATAGAAGCGAAACATTTGTGCTCTTTAGCCTGGCTTCATGGCCTCAGTTCCACTTTTATTTGTACTAGGATAACTGGAAGCCTGTTGCACTGCAACATCATCACAAATGCATGAAAGTGAGGAAAACAAGATAAAAGTGTCAGAGCTCATGAAGTGTTTGGTGGCTGGAGAGGGAGAAGGGAATTTTTTTTTTTTTTTTTGATGCTCAGTATTTGCACAGCTGCCTGTTTAGCAGTGGGAATGTGCAGCGGGCATGACGCCGGTCAAACAGAAGAGCACTAACCTGCTTGTAATGTGGACATTTAATACTCCTCCATTTCTAACCGCTCCTTTTACAGGAATGTCGGATCCTGAAGAATTTTTCCTCCTTGAGGGCCATCGTTTCAGCACTGCAGTCCAACTCCATCTATCGGCTAAAGAAGACCTGGGCTTCGGTTCCAAAGTAAGCACCCTCTCTGCCCTTGCAGCTGCAGCTAGCCCCAAACAAAGCCAAAAACCTATGTTCCTCATTGTTTGCCTCTCGGCCTTCCCGTTCAGCTGCTTCGTGGACCTGTGCTCCCATTCTGAGAGGAACCTCTCAATGCAGTGAGGCTCAAAACCCTCAGAGGGTCTCAGTGTGAGCTTCTTTTTGAAACTGAAGGCAAGACCTGCCCTTGGTGCCTTGAGATTCTTCTGTCCTTTTGAGCATATTAGATCTTTCACCCTCTGTTTTGTATGAATACAGAAATAGCTACTTGTGCAGCTGGTGGACCTYAAAAGGTCCCCAAAATGGCATAAAGATAATTGACTGATGACTTCTCTCATGTGAGGTTGSAGAAGGTCTGGGATCCTGCCAACCCTTACCAGTCATCTCTTGGTTCTGAGATTTCCTCAGAGGATATTCCTAAACTACAAAATCCACGTGTGCGTTGAGGACAGTTTCTCAAAGGCATTTTATGCATCAGGCAGGTAGCAGACACCAGAAATCTCTGCACAGGAAAGATGGCATTTTGCTTGTTTGTTTGAGGAGGAATAGATTTTTCTCCTTTGCCTTTGATAAGCGAAGAATGTTTCTGCTAACCTAAAAATGCAACCCTGACATGGAGTATAATTCTGCCTTTCACCTTCCAGCCTATCTGCTTTGCTGTTCAAAATCACTGCCATTTATTTACAGTGCWGGGCAATGGAAAGGCACTCGTTCAGTCCAGTGTTTACAGCTTTGCAGAGGACTTGGAAGAGAGCAAAAACTAACCCTTAAAACACCTCTCTCAACTGCCCTTCTGTTCTTTCTTATCTCTCCCCTTTCCTGGAAGAATGTCTCACTGCGGTGTGATTGAAACCCTGCTCAGAGTCYGGGTACTGATAGCAGCGTTTCCTTGTGATGCTGTAAAAGGAGGCCTGGCCATCCCAGGAGCACCAGAGAGTCTCCAGAGGGTTCCTAGGAGATGTGCAGAATCTCATTACATGGATCTGCTGTTGTCTTGTTCCATGCTTGACCAGTATAGCCAAATAAGAATATTCACTGCAATTCTGACTTRGAGTGTTTATAAATAACCCAAATTATTCAAATCTTTTCCTGTACAGGGACAGAATGCTGATGTTCGAAGAGCTGTCTGATATCTTCTCAGATCATGACAATTATTTGACAAGTAGAGAGCTGCTAATGAAGGTAAGAGTTAACTGGAGTTCAAGGCTCATCCTGGTCAGTGCTGAGATTAGCCTTTTATCTAGCCCAAACTCACCTCTCTGCACTGCTCTGTGCAGCGCTTCAGGGAAGATGGCTCTGTAGCTTATAGAAACCAAGAAATGAAACAAGTGCCGTGCTTCTCTGCCGGGATGAGAAGTGACTTCCTTGTCCCTAGAAGGGGAGCCTGTGCAGCTTGAGGCTRCAAGTAGCAAGGTGGCAGTAATGTGGATTCCTGGGGGACTTGTTCACAAGGAAGCAGCTCAGGGCCTTGCTCGGTGCCCAAGCCCCTTGCGCTTCATGTGATGCTGCTGTGGTCTGGGCACAGCGAGGACTAGTTTCGGGATCCCTGTGCCTGCCGCACTGCCCCTGGGCTTGCACTGAAGCAGGAGCCTGCGTGAACAGGTGCTGCACAATGCAATGAGTTACTGAGTAACTTCGGCTTCCTGCTGCTCTGTGTACAGAGAAAAACAGCTTGCACAGCCTTTGAATAAACCTGGAAAAGGCTGGGATTTGTGCTAAGGAGTGCGGAGCAATTCCAGACAGGCTTCTCAGCTGGGCTCTGCCACTGCAGCACAGCCCTTGGCGTCACTGGAGCAGCACCTTTTAGCTTGAGCAGTCAGACACTACGTGCTACCTCTCTCTTGCCTTCCTTGGAACTGGGAAGTGGGAATGGGAGTTTGGAGGAAACGGGCTTCCTGCCGTGYGTGTGGCCCCACGGCCAGCAGAGCCAGCTCTGTTCAGCAGCGTTTGACTTGTCCTGTCCTCGGGGAACCCCAGCAAGTTCAGGAATTTGGAAAGAGCTGATGAAAGGTTATATCATTCAGAAACTAAAGGAAGTTTTGATGGTATTTTTTCAGTTTACGTAAAAATTCGCAATAAGTTGTCTAACCAGTTGACTTTTTGGCAGTGTCTATCCAGTCTGTCTGGCATTTGTATCAGTCTGTCTGTGTTTGTATCTTATCATATTGCCTTGACATCTAAACACTGCGTTTTGCTCAGGAATGATAGTGGAACACTTACAAACCTGTCAGCCTGTTGTTACTTATCATCCACTTATCAACATGTATAGTTTAATTTTTAAGCAACTGGGACAATAATAAATACAGATGAATACTATGAGTGAGTGTTTAGAACAGCTTGGTTAATTAAGTATTAAAAAAAAATAAAACAAAACCCAGTCTGAGCCCAGGCCTTCTGGCTCCTGCCAAATCACTCTCTCCAGCTGCTGCGAGTAGATTGGCGAAACATTTTGAAAGCAGTGAGTAGAAAAAAAAGATCTACTGAATAGCTAGATCTTCTCTGCTAGTATTCATCTTGGACTAGCTTGGTTTGGAAGATTAGTGTCCACTAAATCTTTATTAAAGCTTTTGTTTTCCTTAACTAAATAATCTCTCGAGGAAGCTGTGTTTGACCTTTCGTGTCCATCCTGTGAAGCTTCATGTGCAGGACAGACAAAACGCAATGAAAAATGGCTGGCGGCGAGGAGAGGAGCCCCTGTTCCCTTCTCCCCCAACAGCGGTTGTGTTGTGAGGCTGCAGCTTTACCTCTGTTTCTGCCTGACAGCYGCTGCTGGAGAATCTCCAGTTTACCTTCTGCTACCTTGTACTGCACTCCTTTCTTATTTGCTTCTATTTTGCAGACAGGAAAAAAATACAACAAATTTCAGTTTCTCTGTGACAGAGAAGTTGAAGTTGTAACCAGAGGATCTTTACAAGAGTGGGCTGTTGTTCCATGCCTCTTGCAAAGACACTGATAGCGATCCATGCCACATCTATCTGGTCACTGGGAAAATAACAGTAACTCCCAGCATCCCACATGGATTCAGAGTTTTTTAAAAAAAAAAAAAAAAAAAAAAGCCAGAGATCTATTGTGAAATAGAGCATCCATTCACAGGAAAACTTGAACTGTGGAGATCAAAACCTATTACTTCTATTTCCTGCATGTTTTTGGATTAGTCAATAAGCCACTGAGGGTAGTGGATGGAGCTCTATTTTGTGGCACAAGAAAAACAACAGAGCATTACATAAGAGGGAGATGTTTACTTGTAGCAGTCCTGGTTAGGATATGAAATGGAGAGCTTACAGTCAGCAGTGTCAGGATAGAATTCAGAGAAGCATCTGCACACGTGTATTTAAATACACGTGAGGTGTATTTAAATTTCTCTGATTTAAAATCTCAGGAGATTTGCAATAGTGCTTAACTTTGGCTGAACTAGAACTATTTTCAGAAAAATTCCCTTGATAGTCATTTTGGTGGATATTGCCAAAATTCACAGGCAATGAAGAAAATTAGCTTGTGCACATATGCATGCATGTAGCTGTGCAGTAAATATTTTTGCTGACCTAGCTTGACTCGTTAGGTGTATTTCCAATTATTTTACACAATATTACACAATTTTACACAATTATTTTACACAAATGTAGTTCCACCTTCCTCTTGCCTCCTCCATTAACTGCCTTTTTATTCCCTCACAGGAAGGCACTTCCAAATTTGCAAATCTGGACAGCAGCGTGAAAGAAAACCAGAAGAGAACACAGAGGCGTCTTCAGCTCCAGAAGGATATGGTGGGATTTATCTCCTTTTCCTCCCTTTTCTGAACCAATAATGTGATTAACCCCATCATTAGTGAATTATATGTGAAGCAAAATCTAGAAAGATACTTAACAGAGCAAGTAGGGCACTTTTATAGCTTATATATAATAAAAACGTAGGACCTTTTGTCATGCAAAAACATCACTAATACATCAGAGCTATTGATTAGTCAATGCGAAACAAGTGAACCAAAAAGTTTACATTGAGCATAAAGTCAAAATCCTTGTCCCTGTGAATATCTGCCTCAGGCTGTATTTCCTTTATGCTGTGGTTGATGATGAGCAGTTAATACTACGTGTACATAGTATGTGTACATAAGTTGCATATATAAACAGTTACAAGATGGCAACCAGTGCTGCTGCTGAACTGTTGAGCTTGGAAGAGCTCTAACAGTTTTTAACAGAAGGCAGCTGTCCCTTTAGTCTGCTTAGGGAAAGTGGTTATACAAAACATCAGCACATCCAGTGCGTTTGTGCCGAGAATGGTCAAAGATTTCAACATTTGGGGCACACAATCAGGGGACCCAAAACATTCCCCGGCATCCATCTCCCCTGCTTCCTTGCAAGGCAGGAAACAGGCGCCAGAGACTCTGCTTCCATCCCCACTTGCACTTGCTTCACATCCCAGCCAGCTATTCCGGATGGACGCCGCGCTGAGAGCCTGGCCTTCTTTTCACATCTTACAAAAATTTACTAAACCCACCATATGAAAGAATAAGGACTCACTGGTGACTATAAACACATAWTCATCTCTTCAACTGTCTTGTATCCTACCTGCAGGAAAGAACTCTATTAACTGCTCCTGTAGAGCATTAAGCTGAACTCCAGGGTGAAAAGACACAGCTTTGAGTTAGTGAAATTATGTAGTGTAAATACGAGAAGTCTTGTGATATAGAAAACCACCTCTGGCCACAGCAGAATCTCATTTACTTTTAAACAAGCTCATGAAGCTTCTGACACATTAGCATGAAAATTGCAGTGTTTTGTGGAGATTACTTTTTAAAATATCTCTGCTTTCCAATTTGCTGGAGAAAATGGCTTTTGTCTCAAAGTTGACTAATACGAAAAAAAGACTAAGGGAAGAGAAAACTGGAATAGGGAGGCAAAACTGATGAATATGGAGTTTGTTTGTCTTTTGGTTTGACTGGAAAAAATACAGATTCTTTAATGTATATAGCAGAAACACAAACATTTTCTTCACAAATGTACAGACAGTCCAAAAGTTTAACATTTGAATTCTAAATTAATTAAAACAGAGCAACTGGCTGAGGAAGATAAGCACATTTTGAAGGAAATAATGTGACTGTGATTGCATGACCTGATAACACTTCTTAATAGGAATCCACAAGAATGACCCAGAGAGCGAAGCTGTTTACCCAGGGCAGCCAGGGCTGTTGCCCAGGTCTCTCGCTCGCTGCAGCTGCCGGTGGGACCCTCTCACTGGTGCTCTGTGCTCTTGCCAAAAGTGGCGTTTCCCAGGGGCCTGATGTGAGAAATCAGCCTATGGAACTGGTGTTGAAATATATAGCAGCTCCTTAAAGTCTGTGATRGCATGTCTCTCATTAGAATTTGATGCAAATACTAGATTAGATACTGAGGATAATGCGATGAGAGAAACCATGTCATTTATAAGATTGCTATTTTGTTTAGCAGACTATTTTTATATCATATTTTATGCAGCAATATTGTAGCTGACGCATTATTACTGTTTTGTTGGTCAAATCTAACATTGCTGTGATCCTTTGCAGGGAGTAATGCAGGGCACAGTACCATATCTTGGTACCTTCCTCACTGATCTGACCATGCTTGACACAGCTCTTCAGGACTATATTGAGGTAATTTGGGGTGATTTTGGAATCCAGCAAATCCTTTCTGCCTACTCAGTATGGGGTACATGCATTCTTCTATCCTTCACTGGGTTCTCATGCAGTTGTGACAATTCAGGACAAATGGAGGAATTTGGTTTCAATAAATGGAGGAAATGAGCAGTTTTATTAGTAGCAAGAATCTTATGTGAATTTAAGAAGGTAGCTTTTTTTGAAAGGACACACTCAGCATTGTCTGATCATGGTTAGGTTTTCAGACATCTTAAGTCACCTTCTGATCATACCAAGGTCCTTGTGAACTACAGGTACTTAATATCCTCGGAAATTGGCCCCCACTAATGCAGACCCACCAGGAGCCATGAACCATGCCATGCTTCAGGCACTCCAGCTCACTTACCCTGATGTTGATGTTTACGATAAGAAAACACAAACTCCCTTCTTTCTGGGCTGGTTGCAGCTGCTGGTACTTCTGTGAAGCTGCACTGAAGTGAGCATGCTTGGAGTATTTTTTTTTTTTTTAAGCCATTTCCCATTTATCTGTGCTATTGGTTCAGCTGGTGTTTATAAAACTCACTGGGAACACTTCTGGAGTCCCAATGTAGGCAAAACARTAATTTATTTCTTGCATGATTTTGTGGTAGTGTTCTTCAAACTTCAAAATCTCTCCACAGCTTTTAGGAACATTCCTGTATAGGGCTTCCCTTTTGGGGAACATTGCCATTTAGGCCATGAGGATGGGTGCTCTTTGGAGACTTGTATGTGAATGCTATGGTTTTTACCAGATCTGAAAACAGCTAAGAAGTCCTTCCTTAAGGCAGGCCTGTGCTTCACATTAGCACTGTTAGTTGATCATTCTGTTTGTGATTAAGTCCAAGTAAATATGTGATCTTCTGATGCTTTTTCTTTGCTTCCAAAAGGGTGGCCTGATAAATTTTGAGAAGAGGCGAAAGGTAAGTTAAATATTCTGCAATGCTTAATTTATGAGACTTCTTTTGGAGTTAGAATGAGACTTCTAACTAGGCTGGAGTTTTTCACTTTCCTTGGGAATTAACAGCACCTGCTAATTTTATGGCTGGACTAGATGATCTTTAAGTTTTTTTCCAACCATAATGATTCTGTGATAATTTAATGCAAATTATTCATACATGAGGAAAGAAGATCAGACCTCTGAAAGGCTGAGAGCTCATACGAACTGCAGTGGGGCACAGGAAGAGCCATTTTTTTAGGTGTGTAAATAGGGGAACAGCAGGCCACTTAGTTCCATGAACTTTACCCTTGTGGAAGGAGTTACAACTTACGTCCTGTGGTGCAAGTGAACTCTGCTTTKCAGAAAATACTGTTTGTGAGCGGCTTCATTCTGCTGCAGTAAACTGCTGCATAGATAAAAGGTGCACAGAAGAGGGATTTAGGTACTGGGCCTGAGGAATGAATGTTGTGAATCTTTTCTTTGAGCCAATCCCTGTTGGCTAGAGAGAGAAGTAATGCTGTGCAGGAGGCCAAGGACTAAGGTCACATCTGTCTGGAGAACAGCATGCCAAATCTCCGCTGTGGAGTCTCAAAGCAGACTTTGATTTAGTTTTGACGGAGCCATTTCCTTCCTTTAACTGATTCCCAGTTCTATAAACCACTTCTTGAACTGCTTGAACTTGCCTTTTATTTACAGCTGCATGGCTCAGGGTATTAATAATGAGATACACAAGGTCTCCTTGGTCATGAGGCCAGCTTCATGCAAAGCAGCAGCAAGGCTGCCCTCTGGACTGTCCTGGTTCCTGTRCTCTGATTCTAAAAGCTGTTCTTGGATGACTTCCAAGAGCAAAATGAGCCCCAAAGCAAAAGCTGCAGGTGCCTGTCATGAGTGAGAGGTACAGGGGGTTCCTGGCACTCATCTGGCACCAACTCTTGGCACCTGGTTATTTATCAGGGACTGATTTTGTTTTTTGAAATACTTTGTGGCTCTTGAGACAGCCAGTTACTGATTGGAAACTGAATCTGAACTCCCACTAATTTCTGTGGACTGTTTAGTAATTTTAGACTCTATCTTGTTTTCCAATAAAAGTCCTCCTATTTGCTTATATATTTTCTTAGGAATTTGAAGTCATTGCCCAAATTAAGCTCTTGCAATCTGCATGTAACAGCTATTGCATGGCAGCAGACCAAAAATTCATCCAGTGGTTCAAGAAACAGCAGCTTTTAACTGAGGAAGAGAGGTAAGACTATTGATGCAGTTGGTGAAACAGGCTTTTTTTACCTCACACCTATTGGAATGCGCTCCGTGAGCTTTAGATAACTTCTTACAGGGACCTACATGTACTGCTAGTTAAGAAGAATGAAAATATATAAGCCTTCTAAATACCCGTAGAAAACATTTTTTACTACTTAGTAAGATCTATTTTTGACATTGGAAAATAGGTTTCTGATTGAAATACAATGCCTGCTGTGTCTCACCCACGTAGCCAGCGGCGCTCAGAGGAGCGTCCAAGGCCCCCGAGGTTGAGCTCCCAGGTTCAGCTGGCGGGCGCCGGCAGCAGTGCCAGGGCTAACGCGTCCCCCGCGCGCGTCGGCTGCCCCGGCGGCCCTGAGGGGTTCTGTGCTGCTGCGTGCACTGCCAGCCCCACCCAGAGCAGCTTGCTTAGGGCTTGTTTTAGTATCTACTAGATATTAAACACTTTTAGTCTTAACATTATTCTAACATAATTTTAAAATTCCCTTAGACATGTTAAGTTCCTCTTCATACAGTTTCAGTTTTATGTTGGAAGGGGGAATCACTGCAGATTGCTCTGTCTCTCTGGAATATTTAGCTAATAGCAGTGTCATTAAAAATGAAGCCAGTTGTCTCTGTTCTGCAGTTACAGCCTTTCATGTGAGATCGAGGCAGCTGCTGACACTAGCGCCACATCCCCGAAGCCTCGGAAAAGCATGGTGAAGAGGCTCAGCCTGTGAGTACCCAGAGGGGCTAGCGGCGTTTGGTGTGTTACTGTGACCTGAACAGATCAAACAAGTAATTTTACCAGCTGAGAAACTTAGATTAGAAACTTTAATTTCTTTTTAGAAACTTAAATTAGAATTTTAACATGCTATTGTGTAAAAATTTCCTCAAATGCAAAACAGAGTAAATGAAAATAAAAGCTTGGCCTGTAATTATRGTCTAATTTGCTATACACATGTAAAAATTCCTTGGAGGATTTTAATATGAAAAAGGTTAGTAAAATACCATCAAATGACAGAAATAATCTTCCTAACTGCCTTTCAGTTAAAAAAATAAAAGAAGCATAGGCCATGGTCTAATTTAGTCTGATACCTTTAAAGGTTTGACCAGGAGGTGTGTGAAGAAGAACAGCATGTAGCTAAAGCAGACAAGGGAAACAAGAGTCTAGCAGGAATCCAGGGAGAGCAGCAAAGAATGAGAGCACAGATCAGGGGCCAAAGTAACAGAATCTTAAAGGTGAGGAATTTGAATCTGATATGAGAAGGTGGGAGGTAGGAAGGGTCTTCCACATACCAGTGGCACAGTCAAAATGAGGGAAAAGTAGTGAATTTAACAGCACACTTAACTATGCTTTCCTGATTGTTTCTTTTAGCTATTTTTCTGCAGAACATCTGGTAGACCTTCATTTCAAATCAGCAGTAATTCAGGTTGAGGTCTAAGTGAGGAATGGTCTTTTTAGTCAAGGGATTTGAGTGCTGATATGCAAAAAATCAGAGTAGCTGTTTGAGTTAGTCTGTCTTGAGTCGATAGAGGAAAGTTAGGAGGAGCTGCACTTTGAAGATGAAGGTGTCTGCACTCAGCTGCCTTTCTTCTGCACTTCCCTTGCTTGTGCTTGAGCTGTGCAGAAGAAATGTCACAGCTAAGCACTGGCCTTATTCTCTCCTTTCTGCCCATCTTTCGGTGCTGTGGTACTGTAATTACCTTAGCATTATCCTTGTTTGCACTGTGCACTGTTTATCTAAAGAATTGTTTCATGTACACTGTGAATATATGTGTCAAATTAATAGTGTAGAAGAGACCATCATTATTCTTCCTGAAACCGGTGAGTGACACCTGTCTTAAATTGGTTGAAATTATTAAATGGTTGCTGACATAATAGCTAATTCACCTTGTTTCTCTACCTTGTGTATTATACAAGTTTGTTTCCTTTGTCACTCCTTTAACTTGACACACATTTAAAAATGAGTCTTGGGGGGGAGAGGGGAAGAGAGAGAGAGAGAGAGAGAGAGAGAGAGAGAGAGAGAGAGAGAGAGAGAGAGAGAGAGAGAGAGAACAATAAGTGTAAATAAGTCACACTTTCTTGTCATCTCCTCATTGTGTACACTCATATTTAAACTCTTAGAGGAAAACTGGTATTTGGGGCAGCTTTACTGAGTGAAAGAATTTGCAGGAGGGGTGAATTTGCCTTTGGAAGGCCTTTGCCCGGGACATGGTGCATTACCCTTCATGCACTATTTATTTCACTTGACTGTGTCAGTGGGACCGGGACGTGAGAGCAGTGTGTGGGAGTGTGTAAGGTGGAGCCAACAGCTGAGCCTCTAACTCGCACCTCTGCCCTTGCCTTGYGAACACGTCAAGTCAGTCATTCCCTGGCAAGCAAGTCTACGGGAATTTCAAATGGAAAGGGAGCCCAGTGGGTACTGCTCATGGATAAGTTCAGATTCTGGCCTGGCAGCTGCTATGTATACTAGGTCCAGGAGGCATTGTGTGTGTTAGTGTTTAGCAAATTCTCTTGACAAATTCTGTTAACGTTATAAAGGAAATGAAAACAATAGGCCATGCAAGATAGGAAAACAAAACAGAAGGATTTTTGAGCCAAGTGACAGCTTTGCTCAACCTAGCACTATTCTGCTTTCACTTATGCGCTGTGATGCTTTGTTTTCTCTACTAGACTGTTTCTGGGATCCGAGGTGATCACCAACAGCACACCCACCAAAGAGCAGCCCAAATCTACTCCGAGTGGGAGCTCTGGTGAAAGCATGGACTCCGTCAGTGTCTCRTCGTGCGAGTCTAATCATTCTGAATCTGAAGAGGTCTGCATCACTCCCATAGACACTCCCGACGAGCCTCAGAAAAAGGTACCGTCTGGGGCTCTTGTGGCCAGCACAAATACCCTGTGASAGATCGCTGGTATCAGTCTTGACTGGAGCGTTGCTTTTAGTGGAATGGAGAGACTCTAAAAATAAATTTAGAAATATGGAAGCAATCTAGTCAAGCCTTTTCARCAATCCCCTTTTTTCTTGCCTAGATGTAAGGCAAATTAATTTTCGATATTCTTGTGGCATCTGACAGGGGTTTTGTTTTCAGATGAGGCTCTGTAGGAACAARAGATTCATTTTTTCCTTCAGTCCCAGTTTCCATCTTGGCGTGCGCAGCAAGTGTCTTACAAACACTTGGACAGCATGTTGCTCAAGCCCTCCTTTGGCTGCGACGGCAGAGCCAGCATGCTGGCAGGCCGGGATGTCCCACGGGACAACAGGTACAAGGATGATGCTGTGGGTGAGGAGGCAGCTGTGCCAGGCTCTGCTGCTGGCGGGAGACAAGCCAGTCACACCAGAGACCGGCAGCAGGGATCCCATGGTGGGGGATCTACAGGGACCTCTCACACAGGCAGACTTGTCCTGGTGAAAGGCTTTTGAGGGATGTTTTCTGAGGAGTGCTAGACTGGTTTTAGCTTGTGGACTTTTAAAATGAAAGTGCACTAAATGTTCTTAAACTTGGATGAAGTGCATGGCTCCTGACGCTGGCACTTCTGTAACTGAGCTGTTTAAATTGTTCAGGCAGGAGAGCTGTCAGAGTGCTGTGAGTGAACACGCTGGGGAGGGACACTCGCCCCGCAGTTGCTGAGCAGGCGGATGATGAGAACAAGGGGCTGACAGCAGGGGAAGGGGAGCAGGCAGTTGCGAGGGAGGGGCCTGCTGGGCAKCGTTACTCAGCTCTCCGTTGGAAGCCCACATCCCCACTTTGTGCATTGTATCTGCTGCCACCTCCTGGCCTGTTCCTCTGCGAGGGGCTGGAAACGTGCACCAGCAAGCAGGAGTGTCAAGCATCCAGCATTGAAAATAAATTTTCATTAAGATGATTAAATTTTCAAGTTAAGTTCATTTTTTTTGTAGAGGCAAAGAACAGCACTGCCAACCCCCAGGGCAAAATACAGACAACTGAGGTTTTATATGTGCCTCTTGCTTCCTCACATTCTTCTTCCAGAATGACCAGAAATAAAAATGTGAAGTTTATGACTGTGTTTTTTGTTTTGTTTTGCCTTTTTGTCTCCCTTTCTGTTATGTAGCTCTCTGAATCCTCCTCCTCCTGTTCATCCATCCATTCCATGGACACATCTTCCTCAGGGGTGTCATCCTTAACCAATATAATCTCATCCCCGCCCTTCTTGTCCTCCAATCCCAAGATCCACAAACGCTCTGTCTCCGTGACATCCATTACCTCAGCAGTGCTGCCTCCTGTTTACAACCAGCAGAACGAGGACACGTGCATCATCCGCATCAGCGTGGAGGACAACAACGGCAACATGTACAAGAGCATTATGGTAGGTGCTGCGGCCTGGCTGCGCTCCCTTGCTGCAGCAAAGGGGGTGGCTGCCACACTGTGCGCACTGCGGGTGCTGCCAAACGTCACCCACGGCCCAGCCCCATTGGGGCTGGAGGTGGCAGGGAACAAACAACCCTGGATACATCTTAGCACAGGCAGTAATTTTATGATTTTCAAGGTACTGAGCCACCAAACTGTGAAGAGAAGTCCCTGCAGGGGAACTAACAAACTTTGCCAGCAGCGAGACAGACCTTCCTGTTGGTTTCATTAGGCTCTGGAGAGATTGCTGTGTCTGCTCCAGACAGAGCACTTCCGTGGCAGACAGTAAACTAAGTTGCAAGGCCAGGACTCTTTGCAAAATGTCAGAGACATTTAGTACACAAGACTCCAGTTAACTGATGTCCACAAACCACAGATGGGACAGGTAGTTATATGGAAGTTTATGGCTAGTGGGAACAACATCTCATCTCTCAGAAGTGTTTGCTCAGAGGAGCAGATGCTGTGTGATTTACTGTTATCTCTGGTAGCTGAGTATCTGTCATCTTGAATTAAAAAACAACAAATGTCACAAATACCATGATTTGGTGTCGAGCAGCCTGTGTTATTTCATTACTGACCCAGTATATTCTCGGTTTTCTGAACTCTTTTCCAAAACCCATCAGTACTGATGAACTGTAAGTGAACTATTACTAGTTATCGAATCATAATTATTATATAAAGTTAATAAGCAGAATCTCTCATGGCAAATTTGTCTTTTCAGTTAACTAGCCAAGACAAAACTCCTGCTGTCATCCAGAGAGCTATGTCAAAGCACAACCTCGAATCCCATGCCGCTGAGGAATACGAGCTTGTACAAGTCATCTCTGAGGACAAAGGTAAGGATGCAGAGCTTTGCTCCTGTTCAAAAAACTTCTGCTAGAGTTTGACTGAAGGAGTAAATTATGAAGCAACTTTAGGACTTGTATTTTTGGAATAACTTCCCATGCTTTAGAGGCACAACATGAAAGGGAAAGGGGCCAGCACATACCATGCAAGTTCCTACTGAAGTTTAACAAGCTTGCAACAAGCAGGGGGTGCACTGAAGAATCTGGTCAATAAGTGACACTGTGGCATTAACGAAACTCTTGTGGACTTAGTGCAGCCTCGAGTGAGGTGATCCTRGCCTGGTTTGACGTGGGAGCTGCTCCCTCGGCCTGGATAAAGACCCAGCGGAGCTGAAGGCACTCTGCTCTGTAGCGCTCATCTCTGTACCCTGTACAGTGAGCTCCTGGGTCCAACAGCCTTTCTTTTAACCAACGGAGGATATGAAACCACTGTTTATAATTCATGCCAGCCATCACACTGGCCTAATGCTCATCTGCCTGGCCTTGTATTCTCAGTCTGTTCATCAGTTGCCTGTTTTTTCCCTTGCTTTAATTCTGCTCTACACAAACCTGTAAATTTTTACGGGTAACTCTGCTTCTGTTCCCTCTTTCGCAGAGCTAGTGATTCCAGACAGTGCGAACGTGTTCTATGCCATGAACAGCCAGGTGAATTTTGATTTCATCTTGCGGAAAAAAGCACCAGTTGATGGGCAGGTGAAAATGAGGAGCCGGTCGAGTCTAACACTCCCCAGAACTGCCAAACGGGGGTGCTGGAGTAACAGGCACAGCAAAATTACGCTTTGAAGGGGAGAAGTGTACACACAGGTGAACTGATTGAGAAAATACCTTTGCTACCATCCAGTATTACAGAGTCACAGCAAATGAATGTGTCAGTATTCAACTTTGAAAATATTTGAGACTTAAATGCAAAGCCAGAGGTGTCTTTCTCCTCCACTGACTATGGAGATACAGACAGACATGGATTTATGGGACAGTCTGGACTAGGAATTTTTTCTTTTGCACATTAGCCTAGGAAGGTTAGAGCCCCATTTACAGGGGAAAACAGGACCGGTTGTCTTAAGAACGCCACCTAAGCCAACTCCTCTTGTGAGAAAACATCTTCTTTTGTGCCAGTATTATATAGAACATCTAAATTTATTTTTATAAAACTGGAGAAGAAAAGTCACAATAAGACTCTGCCTGAACCAAGGAGGAGATCCCAGCCTGCCTGCCACAGCCAGAGAGCACTGCACAAGGTGAGGGTGAGCTGAGAGCTACTGGCGGTTGCTGCCTCCAGGAGGCATCTGAGTTCATGGGTGGGAGTGTCCCAAACACTCATCTCTGGAGACAAAAGAAGCTACAATTGTGTGTATTGCTTTCACACAGCTGGCAACTTTTTTTTGCACTTGTTCAATGCCAGAAAAATGCATATTTTGGATTTTTTTCCAAAGAACATTAAAGGAATGGGCTGCACTTGCTTTTGGATGAATGTCATGATTTGTTAATGAACAAGGCAAACTCAAACACTACTTGTCTGGATTTTGTGCTTGTTTTAATGCCACTACATTGTGGTTTTCCTTACGCTTTGCTAACCTGTTGAACAGAAGTAGATGCGTTTTGCATGTACTCCAAAATGACTGATGTACCTCTTTATAATGTGCAATCACTCTTCAGGAGCAAAACTTTTGCCTGCATTAATACACATCTTCATTCCATGAGAAGCAACTACATTACCTTTTGTTTTAAAAGCGAGTATTAGGAGGAGACAGCCAGGTTTACTGTATTGCCCAGAACAACCAGAGATTTTTTTTTATATACTTGTAGCATTATTATGCATAGCCTCCAAACACCTCCCTTGCTCTTTATATACATCTATTAAATGAATGGTACATCCTTTCAGCTGGAATAAAAAAATTAATCATATGTTCTCTGTGAAACTTTAAATAACATATTTCTATGTCTCTTGCCAGAATACAGCCTTCCTTGTAAGGACACAGGGGTTTTATTTTAAAAAGCCATAAATGAGACAATGGATTGTAAACAACCCTTACTGAACAGACAGTCTTGGGATACATTACTATTAGTTAAAATAAACTTAAATACTGAATTTTATCCATGTCTGGGGCATTTTTATCAGGTCTGTAGCAGTAAATTTTAAAGCTGGGCTCAGATTATGTTAACATACAGTTAGTGATAAACTCATGATGCCAAAAAATGTYGGGTCATACTATATTTGACATTATTATTTAAAAAATCATCATCACCATTTACAAATAGCACCATGCACACTAGACTGAGTAGTGTAAAAACACAACGTGTACGTTTGGTGGGAGGGTAAAGATGTCGAGTTTGTAACTGAGCCTCAAAATCTGCCCCACGTTAGGTCGAGAGGGTCCRCTCGGTGTAGCTCAGCGAAGGCAGTGATGTCTATTCACTCTTCTGTAAAGCATGGATACGCCTTGTCGGGTGCAATACTGAATTAACTTTCAGACAATCGTGATTTTAAGGTGACCCCATCCTCAGAAAAGGTTATATACAAAAAAGTTTTCTTATTGCTTACCTGTAATCATTATACAATCAGCATAATATAAACTTTTTTCACAAATGTTTGCCTGAAGTTAGTTTATTTTCTTCTCTGAGGTTTACTTATTACTAGCTGGTGGGTTTTGTGCCTCTTACCTCCTCTTCCCTTTAAGCTCTGTTGTTCTCTTCCAGGTCCTAATTTCTAGTGTCTTGACTGTTGTCCAATTGCTTCCAGCTCCTGTAACTGACGTTCACAGAATCTGAAATGCAGCATTTCTTAAAGCCCTTTGCTACTCCATACTCTCCCCTCAGCACTGCTGACCCTTCAGCCACATGTTCAGTGGCAGTTTTATGCTGTTTGTTAATAGTGCCAGCATTATCGTAAATCACGTTATCGTATCATTTGTCAAAGTTTTCAGGATGACGGATCAAATTCTGCATCCTGTACTTCCAAAGTCAATTATAGTAAGAAAAATTGAAGAAGAAAAAAAAAAAAAAAAAGGAAAAAAAGGTGTTTCAATAAACTGCTTGTGCAGTGACATTAGAGCGAAGCCTCCCTGGCCATCCAAACCAGTGCAGCTGACGGTGCAGGGTCCAGGCACCATCATCTTTCTTTAGCTCTGCGGGCCTCGACCAGCTCACAGCACCCGCAGCAGACCTGTCTGGGCTCCTGGCTGGCCGCTGGATGGGCGTTTTGCACGTTCTACCCTCAGCTACATAAAATAATAAAGAAAAAGGATATAACATGCTGGACACGCAGCAGACCTCAAGTCTCCTGTTTCCCCAGGCCCCATCAAGCTTCTTACCAGTGTCTCCAGCATCACCATGGCCAACAGCGCTGGGAAGAGGGTCACGCTGGCAGCTGGAGAGGGTAGCGCTGCGTGGGCAGCAGCAGGAGAGCTTGCCAAGGGGCTGGGGACCAGCCCCTGCGCTCCCGGGTCACATGGGGGCCCCTCTGTCCTGGAGAGAGGGATCAGCTTCCAGGCCGTGGCTGCAGCACGGACACTCAGCCAGCAGCTCTGTGGTGGGTGACAGGCCTGACAAAACTCCTGGCTTCCTTCATTTGGCCATCACCATAATTCCAGAGCCAGGACAGGYTCCAGTCCTCAGATGTGCAAGTCTTTTTTCAAAAATTCCTCATTTTTCCAGCAGGCAGTGCCGATGTGCCTGAGGCAAAGCTGGCTTTCCCCACCAGGACCTGCTCCCAGGCAATAAAAAGGCCACACTGTGCTCAGCTTGCACCAGGTTCTATGTATTATCAGACCCGCTGACAGATTATAATAACATGACTTCTTTAGCAGAAAGCACAACACTGATCAGCACTTATTAAAAACAAACACCCGCAAACACGTATAAAACCACACCAGCACACACACCCGGCTGAGCAGGGCAGCCAGCAGGAGACAGTCTCTTTAGAGGGCTGGTCAGAGGGACATCCCCGCTCCGCTCCGCTCGCAGCCACCGGCTCCAGGTCTGTGCCAGCTCGACCTAAGCAGTGCAGACCCTGGTCGCTTGGCCCCTGGAAACCTTTTCTAACAAGGAAACAGCACATTCTGCTGACATGTTACCCGATAACAAAGATATCAGAACTCATCCCAAAACAGACAAGTTTGCTCTTCACATGAAAAAAAATAAAAATAAAAAAATTATCAAAAGACAAGTTGCCTTTCCGTCCTAAAACATACAATTCTGAGGCTGCTGAGAACAGCTGAGGCCAGTAACGTTTCTGTAGATTTTGTAAGAATAAAGTCAAGCAGTTCACAACCAGATTTGTAAAAAGGAAAGGTCCTAGAAGTCCTTCACCTGATCTTTGTGGCTCAACTAAACTGGCCTGGGAAAAGACTGTCGTGCTCTGCTCTTCTGAGGAACAGCCTGAGGCAGAAGGAAGCAGGACAGACATGAACCAGTTCTGCCTCTCTGCACTCTCTGAAGGCAATACAAAAACCAAAACAGTGACCACCCTTTTTTCTTGTCGGCTTTCAACATTTTGGCTATGCCAAGACATTTGTTCTGGATTAGTGGACCTGTTAGGCAGACTCTAGGAGGCTGTGCAATGTATGGAGGGAATGCCAGGAACAGTTCTCCACAGCAYCACAGCAAAGGCAAGGAGTGCTGCTCCCATGCATTGAACATTTCTGGAAAACATTTTGATTTTGACAGGGATCCTTTAAAAAACAAAACCAAATGACCTGCACTTGCCTGCAGCTTCAGTAAACGGAATTATAAAACCCTATAAACCTACGATGAGTAACTGTTACACAGCAGCCACTGACAGCTACCCAGAAAGGTATCACGACCTGCACACCTCAGAGTTCCTCTATATATTAATCTTTATAAATACAGTATTCTACAAAAGGAACTGTAGAAAGACGTCACTCAGTTTTGTCTTGTTTTCTTAAACAAAAACTTTTAAGAGCCTTTGTTGAGACCTCTCCCCTTTTTTTCTGCCAGTCTGGGACACTTGTTTCTCCTCCTTCAGCTCTCCGCTCCTGGAAAAGCACCTGGTTAGTCACAACCCAAGTGGGTCCAACCGCCCTGCGTTGCCTTGCAAGTAGGGAGGAGACCACACGAACAACTCTACAAGCTTCTAGGGGGACAAGCTAACGTGTGAGGCAGCTTCAGCCGCTGCGGAGTCCCGGGAAAAGGGGCAGTCATAGCTCATCCCTGGAGGCCGGTGCATTGAGAGATGACTGGGGAGACAGGGCATCCTTGTTCTGGGCATCGCTGTGGATCTTGCCCTGCTGCCGGGATTTCCAGGAGTGTGTTCTGTCCCAGTCAGTTGACACAGTCTCATTATCCCAGATTGTGGAGGTCTCTGTGTCACTGAGGTAGCCCGGCTGCCCCGTGTAGTGGGTGGGATACACAAGCAATGGTTCTGCTGAAAAGGCTTTCAAGTCTCTGGGCTCGTAGTACTCCATGTACTTCGCTCTAAAGAGGGGAGAAAAACTATCAATAACAGAGTGACTGCTTACCTGGGTCACCATTCTTTTCCTCTGGTTTATAAACTAGTCCACTGAGGAAACACAGGTAGGCTGAGATGTGACCTAAGTGAGGAGATGGCTCTAAAGCAGGACTGACCCTGTACATCCATAATCATGTGCATTTACAACCAAACCACAATGACACATAACCTCTACAACCAGAGCCTCTGTTATCCAGAAACAGATGTCTCAAAACCAGCTCACAAGTCCTGTTCCAGCAAGGCAGGACAACCCTCARCAGGTCTGTCACCTGCAGTCAGGTGCAGCTGTTTCTCTCTCCAGCTGAGCCACAAAGTGAGCACACCAACATCAGCCCACTGAACATCTCACTTGTGCCAATCCAAGCAACAGAGACGTTCTACTTACACGGGGTGCTTGTTGTACATGACTGGCAGAAATTCATCTACAGGCAGCATCTTGCTGAAAGGCTCAGCTCCGATGAGCTTCTGAGCTCCTTGGAAAGAGATCGCGTACCCCAAGGTCCAGTAAGAGTAATCAGCCTCCACCAGGTTCATGACATTGGGAACTGCCTTCTCAGGTTGCTGCACCTGCATCCTTTTCCGGCCAATGTAGCTGAAAGGGTGAAAAGACCATGGAAATTGGAACCAAAGTGAAACTGCAGTAACTAGGACCACAAGATGGTTTCAACCAGAAGGGCAAAGTGTTCAATACAAGGAGTAATCCACGACTCAGCTCAGAGATTTCTGTCCTGCACCACTCTGGGACACCCAGGTCTTAGACCTGTGGGCAGTGTGCAGCTCTGGAACTTCATATGGGAGCTAAGATGCCACAGTCCAGGCCTCGGTACKGGGCTCTGCCAGTTGCTGGGGCACAGCAGGAACCAGTAGGACACTATCAAGATCAACCAGAGCTGCCTGCAAAGACTCTCCTCCAAAATCCAGCAGGTACCACTTACGGCTTGGTCATTTCAGTGTCGAAGGTCGATTTGTCCTGAGAAGTAGAGCCTACTAAGATGTCTCCGCCACCTTTCCTTGCAATCCAACGTTAACCCTGCATGTCTATCCTGACATAACAGGTACTGTTGAACTCAGGAGTTCCCAGGTGGCCAAGGAGCCACGGTTACTTACATAAGCTCCCAGTCTAGCTGGGCTTGTTCAATGTCATCCATCAGCTTCATGAGCTTCCTTTTAAACTGGTGTTCAAAGCGAACATCATCCTCAATAACAAGTGTCTTCTCCAGTTCTCTATTTACCACCTAACAGAAGAGAGTTCGAAAGTTASAGCAGTGTCCCACACAGGCCACTATCAGCATCCAGAAACTGGGGGCAGCAAGGTCAGCAAAATGCCATMTACTATGAAGCATCCACAGCTAGGTAACTCTAGGCAGGTTATCGGATGTTTTTTGCAAGAGCAGTTGTAAAATATTTTATTGAGATCATTCAATGCTGTTTTCCAATAAAAAACAGAGAAGAAAAAGCTGAACATTGCATTCAAGAAAAAAACTACACGTGGCTTCCCTACAAACTGAGGAAACCAATTAAGTATAATACTTCTGAAAACTTTACTGTGCTTGATGCTGTTATGGGAATCCTGCACCCACAAACTCCTCACCTCCTTCCAGATGTAATAGTGACTGAGGAAGCAGCCGATCTCGCCCCTCGTCAGCGGCCTGGAGGAATAGGGGTCCCGGTAGCCAGGCAGCATATCAATGCTGAGAGCTTTCAGCTGGCTTGTATTCAGGGCTCTGAGAAGCAGAGAACAACTCACTGTTACAAAAAGGCAAATTTCAAGTCAGATATAGAAGCAAAAATGCTGCTGACTTTCTGAGAAAAGACATTTCAAGAAATTCTTGCACAATTTTTTTTGCTCAAAGACCTGGAAAAAATGTAATTTCTTGATTTGTATTTCTAAATCAATTTGAACACTGAGGTGAGATGACTGAGGCCTGGCATCTACAGAAAGCTGCAGCCTTGCAGCATCGTTCTCCTCTACACGCACTTAACACTACTAAGATGCTCATCCCTGGGATATGGTGCCACCCAGCTCTCTGTCACTCGAGACCGTGACCGCTTTGGAACTAGTAGCACTGAAGCAGAAATCACATCAGTCCCCACCACTGCAGCGTGCAGACACGCTGCATCAGAGCAATCTAAAGACAGAGAATGGTATGAACACAGACAAATCACGTGCTAACAATTAATTCTGCTAACARCTTCTTGTGGGACCATCAGCCTGTCAGCTGCTGGGCTTAGAWTTTTTTTCTAAGAGCTCATCACAGGTATCCAGCTTTTAAGGACCACTAGATGTTACTTGGGTTCTAACTCTCTCAGGCCTCTTTGCAACTTTCAGACCTAAACTGTTGTCCTTTATTTCTCACGATAGAAGAGTCTTAACCACCTCAGAGGAGGGTACATTTGAGAAGGGACTGTACCAGGCTTAACRCTAACTCAACAGCATTATAGCATTTGGAAGGAAAATTTTGCCAGCAGATAATTGCTCCCAAATGCTTTCACAGCTGATCCCTTTTAACTGTGTGCAAGTGTTACTAATAATGGAAATCAGGATGACTTTAAACAGATTTTCATCTTAACCTGAGCTGCAATACCCATGGAGTTCTCATAATGTCAAAAGAAAAGGAACAAAACTGCCTCAAACAGTGCACTACATGGGAAAATAAAGTAGATGGATACCTCTCCCCTCAGCCCACTTTTCCACAACAGAAACAAAGTCAGGGTGTCTTAAGAGACATTCTTGGGAAACGTTAGCAACTCCCACTAAAACTCACTTTCCATCCACAGCCTCCACTATCTTCACTGAAATCTCCTGCTCATAGAGAGTCCGCAGCATCCGATCCCGCCTGTCTTTCCGCCGCTTCAAGTTGATCATGAAAATCTGTGTTAAAGAAAAATATATCACCCTTCTGCTCTGGGAGTGAGGGAAGGAGAGAAAGGGGTCCTGATCCAATCTTCACCAGCAGCCCCACAGAAAGTGCAGATCTTATTAAAACACCAGGTGTGTCCTCATTACAGATCATTTAGAACTTGGGGAAAAAAAAAAAAAAAAAGGGATTGGTTTTGAGTTGAAAGCCACCATCTGACTATAAGGACATAGTAAAGAGAGCATTTTTGTAATTATTGCAGGTGCTGCAAATCTTCTGCTGCCCTTGCCAGAGGAAAAGCCGCACACAGAGCCAGGGCCTCGAGCGGGGAGGTGTGGGCCCTGATGAGACCTTTGGGCCCTGGCTGCAGGGCTGAAACCCCCATTTGCAGGTAAAGCACAGAGGGCCAGGAATCAGCTTTCAGGCCCAGAAAAATAAGCACAAGTGCAGCCTTGTAGCCCATGGAGCAAAACCTCACCCCAATAAGCAGCAGATGAAATTCCAGCTCAGTACAAATGCAAAAATAATAAATTGGATAAATAAAGTGCAGCCACAAAAGACAACATGGAAAAAAAAAACCCACACCAGCTGTGTTCTAAAAACACACAYAGCCAAAGCAGGTTCAGACTTTGCTATATAAGCCATATAAAAGAAACAGCAGAATATGCCAGGGAAACAAAGTTCCCTCGTTGCCATAACTCCCTCTGTCACTGCCACCCAGCAGCTGATGGGGAACATCGGAGCTGCGAGCAAAGCACTGGAGCAGAGCAGAGCAGAGCACATCCCTCTCCAGGCTGCTGCACTCAACGCCTGCTCTCCACAGCACGAGGCGGAATCCAAAAGAAGAATTTCTGCAGGGTCTTGGAACGCTATCAGTGCCAACAAGCACCTTCCTAGCTCATTTTTACTTACGGCAACAACAGGAAAACATGGCAAGCAAGCGGGGGCRGGAGCTGCCGCAGCGCGGGCCGCCTCGGACTGCAGCCCAGCTCTGCTCCCGGATCCCCAGCAGCTTTCCCAGTGCTTTTAGTGGAACAGAAGGACTGCAAAGTTGTCCAGTAGAGTCAGATTTAGGGGAGGCAGCACAAGCAAACTCACTTCTGCCATCCCCTTTAGGCTGGATCAACCATCCATACATCAGTGGATAAAACCCCAAAGTTTGGCTGGACACTGCCCTTGTACACGAACCAGCACTGCTAACCAGAGCTCTTGCAGCAGGACAGAGCGCTCAGCACTCACAGACTTGACTGGCCTCATATCCCTGGCAAATGCCAGACAGGAAAGGGTAAAGGGTTTTCCCTGAGCCCTCCCTTACCCCAGAGCTCAGCATAAGTTCTCCCCAAATAAAGATGGGTATTTTCTCCCTGCAAAAAGTTCTAGTCCCAATGACGCACCGTTGGGAAACAACTAACTGCATGAAAAGATACAATACTCAAAGCTCAGCTGTGGGGGGAACCCAGGGCCTCTAAGGGAGAGAAGACACTAACAGCAAAGGAGATTTCTTACTTCATCAAATCCCATCTTGTCAGGGTGTTTTGGGGGAACAGAGACGTACTGCGAGGGTTCAACAGGAGGACGGTCAACTGAAAGAGATGAGAAATCCCAGTATCACCTTCATGAACACATCCCGCATTAAAATAAAATATCCACACATGTTTTCATCACTGGGCTGGTATGTGATGCCAGTGCAGCAGTAGAAGCACCAGAAAGCATCAACGCAGCAAAGCGGAAGCCAACAGCCATGATAAAGATGGGGTTCTGCAGCATCCTTTACACACTGTAGCTGCTTTTCTGAATTTGATTTGGAGAATTTGAGGTGCTTTGGGAATGAAGTTGATCTGTTCTTGAGGTGATTACACCCCCAGCAAGAAAAATGGTGGAAAATTAAAAAGCTGCAAATCAAAACAGCATGATGAGTATCATCAGACCAGGTTGTAAATCGCCCCACGGGGAACAAGCTGGGCTGCTGACAGGAGAGAGCTCTGCAGACATTAGCAAGKGTGCTCCACAGCAGCAGAGCACAGACACTTACTCATGGCCTCGATCAGTGTGTGCACAAAGTTCTCGGTCTCCTCCTGCAGGGTCTGGTGCGATTTCAGAGGCATGGGAAGGAAACCATAGTGCTCACGGTTGCAGACAAACATCTGAATCCCTAGGGATCAACCAGAACCAGAAGTGAGGTTGCAGAGCAAGGGGTTTCTAATGCTTTGCTGCTACACAGCCACAACCAAACTTATACCAGGAGCTCACTCAGGAGCTATTGCTTCGTAAGCAAGCACTTCGAAAACACCCGAGTGCCATTTTCTATTTTATCTGGCTAGCTGCACCTGCCCTCTTCTGTAAAACCACTTTCCACTTGCTCCCTAAAAGAAGGTATTTTTTAACTGCAATCACTTTTTGCTAGGAAAGGCACATCTCTTAGTTCAGAGAAAGGATCTTTTTCAGTCTTTGCTTGCCTGCTTCTGAAATCTCACGCTATAAAAACAATCCTACAGCAGAGGGCAGAAATAGCCTTTACCAAAAGCAGACGGGGCACACACAGCAGGACCGGTGCAAGTAACTAGAACAGTCACAGAAATCCCCAGTCCTCAAAATCCCACCTGCACTGCTCAGACCTGGCACCTCACTCGACCTGATCCAGAAACCCGGTGCCAAAGCAGGGAATGATCTTCACAGATTTTTTTCTCTCTTTGTGTGAGCCAGCCTAGAGCAATGAAGAAATTCAAACAAACCAAGTATGGCCAGAGGTGATGGAGGCTTTTGCCTGAGCCTTGCCARGGTTTCTCTGCCATGTAAGGATAAATATGGAATGATTCGACCGGCTGAAAGAGGCAAGTCTGATCTGCTGGTTTCAACACCACATGGTTGGCCAAACATGGGTCCAGGCAGCTTGGCTCTCCAGGGATCTTGTAGGAGATTGTCACAAAAACCCAGGGCATCAATATAGCTACAAGGCTCTGTTAGCAGCCTAGCAAGGGATTCACTCCAACTTTGTAGTCAAGCATCTTCCTGCTTCTATTCACTTAAGCTGGAAAATGAAGACAAGATATATTCACCTGTGTTGTCAAGAGAACTTACAGGAATATGTATGCTAACCAATTTGGAAGCACTATGTCTATATCAGACTAAGTCCTTTCCTCTGTAGGACTAGTTTTTATAGTGCCCTGGGGATAAGCAGGCAAGTCCTAGTGAGATACTAGCCATGAGAAAAGATGCTTTCAAGTAGAAGTGATAACATGACTTCCTTCTGCTCAAAGGTTTTTGCAAAAAGGTTCCTCAAAGAGCTAAATCTGACAGCGCAAGAGTGCAATGACAAGAACCACAAAGCCTCTTCTTGGAGCAGACTGGTGTGTCAGGAGAGAGCAGCCCACTGCTCAGGTCACTCTTTGGGAATATCCCAGCAACTTGTGATCAGCAGCTGCAGGACTGGCCAAGTTTGCTCTTTGTATCAGGATCAGCACCGGGCCTGGTGTCACATCATGTAGCAGGCTCAGAAACCACTTCCAGGGAAGCTGAGGGAGAAAACTTGTTTTCACTGGTAAGGCAGTTGGTTCATTAGCTGCAAACTGAAAATGCCAATTAAAAAAAAAATCCAAAAACCTGGAAAGCTTTTCTTTCTTTTTTTTTTTTTTTTTTTTTTTTTTTTTTTCCCCAAAGAAACAAGCTCAAACACCTTTGCCTCTCAGGAAAAAAAAGAAAAAAAAAAGCAAAGCAAAGCAGACATTACCTGGTGTGTCAGTGCTTTCATGCATTAATTCCCCTAATCTCTGGTATTTTTAGCAGGGTAGAATTATCTGTGTTAATGACTCTGTTTTTTCTGCCATTTTAAGTTCTGCAAGTAAATGGTTGGCTACGCTACTTGCCAAACCACATTCAGCTGTCAGCTGTAATTAAGGTAAATGACAGAATAAAAAATACTACYTGCTGACATTAATGGTTTTGGCACTGATCTAATCAACTGATCTTATCTGGCTCACCAATCTCTCTTCTCATCTTCCGCTGGCTTAAACACACTTAATCCATGCACATTCACGCCAGCACTTTTGTTCCTTCTAGTTTAAAAGCTACCTTAAAATGAGAAAGCTTTGTGGGGATGCACTTTGTGGGGATGACAAAACAGGACACAAGTCAGCAAACAGACCAATGGGCTGGAGTGCTGAAACAAAGCTGTTCATGTCATGGGCCAGCATCAGAGAAAGCTAAGAGTGCTGGGATACAAGGGAAAAATAGATGGATACAAATCCCTGAAATATTTCTTAAGCAGCTGGACTTACTGTAATGCAATGCAGCACTTGCTGGGTGCTATGTCCCTGGGAAAGCTGTCAGTAGGGAATGAGCAGGTCTGGTAGACTTGAAGGAACTTGCTGTGCTATCCAAATTCCACTTCTGTTCTCATTTGAGCCAACATACTGACATTCTGACTCTGAAAATCACTCAGACCCTAAAGACCCTGCAAGTTCACATCTCATCTCCTCTACCTTCCTCTGCCTTCTCACCGCTGTAATTTCAGTTCTTGCTACCTCTCCTCTGACTATGATTTGAAGTCTTTCTCACTTTCTGTCCTCTCAACCTGTTTTAGTTTAGTTTTAAAAAAGCCTGCTTAGTCTGCCAAGACAGCACTGGCTTTCTCTGCGTTGCCAGGAGCGTCAAACCAGAAAGATCACTAAGAGTAAAGCTGCAAACAGCTGGTGGCTGCTGTACTGGTCTGGAAATGGGAAAGCCTGTCTGCTCAGTCTGCCTTTTCTCCCGGGACCAGTGACAAGCTACACAGCTTTGCTTTGGTTTCTCTTCATTTCTTTGTTTCCCTTCTTTCCCACCTTAACTTTGCCTCTTTTGCAAAAAGCAGACAGATCACACAAGCTGCACATCACTCACAAGACACACAACTTTTCTAAACACGGGAAGAGGATGCTGGCATTGTGATTTAGCCCCAAAAGACCATGGCTTTTATACTGCCAGTGTAGCTGAAATCCTCCCACCCCACAGCACACAGTGATCCTGGGATCAGCCAGAGCACTGCACATTTCCCCCTGCTGTATCCCGGGTCATGCCTGCCCCCCTCACCGAAAGCACACACAGTGCAATGTCACATATGCAGTGATTTTACCCCTCCCACGCCAGCCCTCATGCACCCTGGCCTGGCGGAGATTTCTGCTCCGCACAGCCCATCTAGCTGGACTTCACACCAGTCACTTCTAGGTTGCACTGTTTTTGTTTTCAAAAAAAAAAAAAAATCTTTCAGACATTTATTTGCTGAGATACTAGGAATCAAGGCCTCACCAGTGCTATGCAAGCAACTTGTTTTTTGCTCTCCATGAGGGCTACCAACCTAAAAATACTTTCTTGCATCCTCCCACCTCACCTCTTAACGGAGTCTCCTCTAAGTTACAATGTTAGATGTATTCCCAACAGTCTCCAATATGCCTTTCACTTGCACAGTGATCACCGCTTTTCACAGTTGTCTTGGTCCAGATTAAAGGTAAATAAACAGTACCAGACATTTCATCTATGAAATCCTTCCTCCATCCCAAGAATAGTTCCCAAGTTCTTTAAAGCCATCTGCAATTCAAAACTACACTGCCAGTCACTTGCTGCTGGTTAYCCCTGCCTGGACTAGAAAAAGAGGACAGCATAAACTCAGGGCTGAAGTTCATGCAAGGCCTTTGACCTGTGAACTCAGGATCMAGATCTGCAGGGAGAGTCCTCCCTGGGGAAGGCAGTGGACTTACGTGCTTGGCGGCTGGAGAAGGCAAAGACAATGATATCATCAAAGCTCCAGGTGTAGTCCTGGTGGGGTGGGTAGAACATCAGCTTGGTGGAGGCCTCTTTCCTCAGATCGATGAGGAATGTGGAATGAACCATCGGGACAGCAAAACAACCTGTCCTCTTCCATTCCCGAATCAGAGGATAATCCAGAGTCCTTTTGTAGTAGCCCTGCAAACACAGTGAGCAGTGAGCAAGCCTGCTTGTTACGAGGGATTTCTGTTTCACAAGCTCTCCTCAGTAAAAGCTCTCATCCTCAGCTCTCCACAGCAAAGAGGGGTCAAGTGTCCAGTTCTGAGGCTTTGAAGTACTTGGAAATGACTGAAGCAAGTGTTTAAAAAAATCACTGCTCCACAAGCTACAGCTTGACTTTCTGTCTTTTTAGCAGCCCTTGGAAGCCCAAACCTTTCCTCTGCAAAAATCTCTTGTACTAAAGCTCCAAATCTTGGACAATTTTCTCCAGATCATGAAAAAAMTTGCCTTTGCACGCTGATTCTCAGGTCTAATGCTGGAAAGTGCTTAGCACATGTGGTATCCTCTGAATTCAACAGACAAGGACTTGTAAATTAACGTTGACCATCATTTTAGAAAGTGTTTGCTTTCGTGCAGGGAAGGCAACAAGCTGGCCGTCATCAACAGTGTAAGAGTTGATGCTTCCTCCATTCCAGGGACTCACTGGAAGTTTCATCCCACGGACAAGCAGCTTAATATCCACTCTTGAGCTCTCTCCACACAGTCTGTCTGTGGGAGGCCCTTCAGTCACCTCCCTGTAACCACAAGCTTCTTAGCCTTTCAGCACTGTGCTGCCTCACGGGTGTTGTGTGCCTTCCAGCTGATTTTAAAGGTACAATATACCTGAAGTTATCCATTTGGGAAATAAATACCCTGAATTGCTCTAGATATGAAGTCCTAATGTACCAATTAGACATCCAAACACAGCCAAGGGTTGACTCCAGAGTGGATTTTGGTCTTTACAGAAATGATGAGTCACTAAATTAAGTTAAAATCATTGCTGCTGTTATATTTTCCATGGGTATCCCAGCAACAATGGCTGAGCTAATCTCTGCAGAGCTGGTTTACCTTGGTTCTCTGTAGGCACAGTGCCTGCAACCACACAGAGCATCTGCCTGTCATCCATTGATCCCCCCTTGCCTTCAAATACCTTCTGAACATACTGTGAGCACTAGATGTCTGAAACACAGCCAGTCTAATAGCAGTGAAAAGCAGTGAGCACACAGACATCGTATGAGGCTTCCAGCTGACAGAAGGGTTGACAGTTACCCTTTAATAAACATCTAAGATTGCCAACAGGTGAACAATGCTACAGAACTACACTTTCCTCCTCCAGCCACTCTCTCCTGGAGAGGTTTGGGGCTTTTTTCTGTACATAAATCACATGTAATCAAGGAAGAGGCCAACTTGTCAGGGAGCAGACCACACTGCAAAAGCAGCTGGAAAAGACCACAAAGCAGCAAACATGCCCACTGCTTCGCAGACACAGACAGAAAGGCCTTTCAAAGCACACAGCTTGTGCAGCGACCTGGCACAGTTCACAAGGTTTCTCACCTGAGGGGTGATGCCACACCAGAAGTTAGAGTAGAGAGAGCGAGACTCGAGCATTGGTGCTACCAGCGTCTTGTTTTCTGCTATCATCAGGTTCAGTGTGTCTGGATTGGTCAGTAAGTTATCTGCATCAATGAACTAGAGAGGAGGAGGGAAAAGGAAATAAGTTATGAGACAAAACGATGTGTTTTCTTGGAAATAAGTGCCCAGAGTCATGAGATATTAGTAAATTTCACTCAGATGGGGGTTTTTGTATCACAGGACAAATGTCCCTTACAGGTTAACCCAGGAGGGGCAGGCCCAGCAGGACAGTCTTAAGACTAGAAAAAATGCAGAGCTTCCCTCTGACTCCACAGAACGTTACTCCAAAACTGGGGCAAGGGAGTTTTAAGGGAAAATTATACTGCCCAAAATTTATAACAGGGTTGTCCTGTGAAGATGATCAAGAAGAGCTATTTAAAAAAAAAAAAAAAGAGAGAGAGAGAAAAAAAATAGCCTCACAATCTCATCTTGCTGGGAACACCACCATTAACTGCTGCTGCAGTGACCAAAGGCACACATCTTCCCACATCTGCTGAACATTTCCCTCAAGTTTTATCAATAGCAGGCTGGGTTGCAATCTGTGCAGCTCTTTCCAGGACTATATTTGTTCCTGTCAAACACAGATCCCAAGTCTGAGCCCAAAACTCTGTGGAAAAAGCCTGTGGAGAAACTCAGAAGCCATAGCTCCAAGCTCTCTTGCTCATCAGATCAAGAAACACAAGGCAGCTCACTGCAAACAGAAAGCTTTTCCTATAAAAGGAGAGGAAACAGCGCCAGTACCAGAGCAACTATCTCCGAAGCTTTCGCCTGTGGAGAGTTAATAAATCAAACCTAAATTTATTTCCCTCAAACCTACCAAGATATAGTCTGACCACTTCTCTCGCGCAGCACGAAGGGCAGCTTGTCGGAGTTTCATGACATGGGTGAATCGGGAACTTGGCCAATGTTTCGGTCCAGCTTCTTCTGGGTATGACCTAGCAAAGAAAAATAAAAAGGAACTAGGGATTTCACCATGTCTAGTACCTATTAATGTCATCAAAAAAAGTCATCATGTTCCCTTGCTGCCTTCAGGGCAAAAGAAAAACAGAGTTAGAGTCACCTCAGGCAACCCAGGAGAGCAAGAAAATGAAAGGCTGGCTTCTGAGGGAAACAGATTCCAGCCTTGGTGCTGGCATATGCACACAGGGCACTGCAGAAGAAGCAACACAGCAGCAGTGCCTGCCAAGCGGCCACAGGCAAAATAGCACTAACAAAAACAGCAGCGTCTTCTGCAGCAGGCCAGGCCCCGCCATGATGTAAGCAGGGGCTACCCCACTGGAAGGAACTGGAGCTCATTTACCTCATCTGACCCCGTGGTAGAAAGTCCTCTGCCTTCTGTTAGGTTTTAAGACTATAAATAAGGCTTCTTTAAGTCCAGCAGAATCAACACAGCTGGGGATGGGAAGACTGAACAGGATTTCAGATTCCCTCAGGGTTTGGCATTATTAGTAACTGTTAAGACATTCTGATATCAGCTTTTAAATCTGCAGACACTCAACACCCAGTCCCAGGAGCCAAATCAGTGAGCAAAGTTATGTGCGTATCTCTGTTTTCAAGATCATGTCTAAAAGTAAAATTTTCATAACACAGGATGGAAGAAAATTTGGGGACAGATCCTTATGTGAACTACTTGTTCCAGGCTTTGAAATAATGCCCAAATAAGTCAGTAAAGGTGCTAAGGATTTTGAAAACTTTTTACAGAAGTTTTAAAAAGACAACATTTAGAAACAGAATTTCAATGGAAGGATTTGAAAACAATTAATTCCCTGTTSGTTTACAGGACAAAACTCCACCACTGAACTAAGGACCTTGAAAGCAGAAGCAAGCCCAAGCAAAGGGGAAGCTGATAAACTTTTCCCAGACCAGAGAAACAGAAAACAAAACATGGAAGAGCTGATATTGAATAACAGTGATGATAAAAAAAATGAAAAAAAMCACCACCACCAAACACCATTCTTCCACTTAGAAAGTCTGCACATAAATAGGTGTCATCCTTCATTCCTYAAGAGAGTATTCTCTTTAAACCTAACAACATATTTCAAAGTAATGACTGTGCAAGTTGTGCAAGGGGATAAGGCTGTGCTAAGTTAAATCTAGCTCAGTAAATCTAGTTCAGTACTTATTGAATATTTGATGCTAGGGACACAGTTTTTATATAAACTATGGGAATGGGCTATGATTCTCTGCTTCCTTGCAAATAAAGAATGATGGTTTTTATTCTCTGAAGCTTTTGATATGATCTATTTACCACACAAACAGAACAGCTGCAGATGCTGAACAGCTGAACAGAAACTTGCTGCTCTCAAGGTGTGTGAGAGTTACAGACCGTGTCTGCAGTCAGAGACCCTTCTCTAAGTCAGAGACCCTTCTCTACCAGAGTCCAAATGGGACAGACCCTGCAAAAACTGTGTTTTAATGGCTGGATGATTAATACATGCCCTGKTTTGAAACCAGAAAACCCAGAAGTTTGATATATGCTCCTACTAGCTTCATTCAGCCCCCACTGCAGTACTCACCGGGGRTCCTCCATCGGCCTCCACTCCACGTAGTGATAGAGGTGCTGCACGTTCTTCAGCCACTCTCTAAGGATTGCTGTGGTGTTGTCAACGTTGTGGTCAGTGGCTGCCCTGGAAAAATGACAGCACAAAATAAAACATTAACACAAGATTTAGGTTTAAGGAGCAAACATAAGATGAACACATTAACTCCCTTGGGTTTTCCCATTTGCCCTGACCAACAAACACTTCTGATGGTACTACAGAAGTTGTGTTTCTGATCTTCTTTGCCTTTTCCCAGCTGGCAAATGATTAGAACCCAGCCAGGACCTGCTCCTTAGAAGCACATCCAACTTCTGGCAGAACTCGGTGTAACTCCACAAAAATGCAGGTCCTTATTCAGGTGTCCAGTACAGCCCCACTTGCCCACAAACGACTCCTTAGCTTAGGCAATGCTGCACACCACTGCCTGCTTCAGCAACCTGATCCTGCCGCACAGGAATCACAGCTTCTTTGTCATGGATCTGCAGYGGACACAGGACTTAATCTTGCTCTTAATGCCCTCAAGGTGAACTTTCCATGCTGACTCTCAGAGTCACATCCCTTCAAATATTATCAGTTCCCCCTGTGGAAGGAACAGGATGGAGCATTGCATGGGATGAGCAGCCCAGGAGAAGGTAGTCACAAAGACTATATATATGCACATATTTAGAAGCACRAGGAGTTTGTTCTGTTTGATGTCCTCTTCTCAAGTCCACTGCTGATACTGCACAGCTGGGCGCTGAGCACTCAAGCCCTATTGTTTCACCCGATGGCTCAGGAATCTCACGTGCCAGGACAGGGGAGGCACCACAGTGACACTGCAAGGAGCTCCCTGCTAATGCTAATGCAAAACACTGACTAGTGAATGAAACCTTAATGTTGAAGGACTGTGAGTGACTCATTCCATGACATTTATACTGCAGGCCTGCCCTCAAGAGCTAGCCCTGCAGTCAAGGCAAGGTCCCTGAGCAGGCTCTAGCGTCCGGTCCTTGTGAAGCCAGATGATCCAGACCCATGAAGTTTTGCTGCACAGGCCAACAACCAGCGTCCCAAGAGAGGGGCTCTGACACTAAAAGCTCTGACCAGCGTTGCTAAGCTTGGCTGAAGACCCCGACAGCAAACAGCCTCCAGACAGAACTGAGACACATGAAGGGGAAGCTAGAGAAATGTCCAGATCTACCCCTGAGGAAGCTGTTAGAAGAAAAATGGCATGTTGGTGCCCAAGCTGCAGCAGTGTTGTCATGTAGCAGGCAAATTAGGCAAATTCACACCCGGGCACAAAGGGCTGCTGTCTCCAGGGCTATCCATTCAGCAGCATTTCCAGGSCCAAATTTTTCAAAGGCAATAAAGTTTGTCATGCCTTGGAGGAAACCTGCCCTATGACTAGCAATCTGGCAAGCAAAAAATTTCCATCTGAGTTCCAACCGTCAAGCCATTCTCCAGYGCAGTTATGACCAGTAGTTTCAGAACAATTCACTTCTAACTATATCAAAAGAAATCAGCACTTGCTCCTATTGCAGTATCTGAACCACTGGAGTCCACTTATTCCCCCAGACCAAAAGTATCAGTTATTACAGTGCTTGAAATACCCCATATGGAAAAACAGGCCAGTGGTGTCATTTTAAGTAACTACCATTGCTAAGGAAAAATGGCAAATGAAAATAAGAGTTGAGYTCCTCTTGACAGCAACTGCTCCTCAAGCAATGAGAAGCACAACAGGACCTGCTGTTATAAACCATGTTTCTCACTCATGGACAGTCTGCAGGGCTTGAAAAGGCARAGTATTCCACTTAAAACTTCAGCCCTGCCTCAGACAGTTGGACCAGCTGCATCCTTTGGGTTTTAATCCAGTTTCAAGACAGCAGAGCCATCCTTGCTGCAAAATGCAGCAGCACTACTGCTGCCAGTGGGGCAATCCTCCCCAGCCTGGAAAACTGGCTCTCCTTGCTGTGCGTGATGCCACCAGGCAGGAAGGTTTGAGCTGCACACACAGAACAGCCCTCACCTGTACTGTGCCTGGGACAGTGATGCTGGGCCATGGGATGAGGCTGTTCCCAAGGCAGAAAAGGAGGGGCAGAAAGTAGCACATGTAAGACTCTGTGCTGAAAGCATTTGGGGCTGAATTCTCCTGGGAAAGCCCTACACGCCGGGGCAGCAAAGCTGCATGTGACACACGCGGAGCACCCTCCTTGGTCTCCTATTCGAGCTCATGTGCTGCCTATCAGGGCTTGTGCACCCCAAACACCTTTAGGCTGAGCTGCTCCCCAGCCTGCACCACTGCTAAGGTTCTTCTTCCCCACGTGCAGGACTGCACATATCTTCTTGCTGAATTTCAAGAGATTCTCTGTGGAGAGCTCTTCCCAAAGCCAACACACACTCCCTGCAACTGGTGACTGGGGTAGAAGATTTAAACAGAAAGTTCTTCAAAAAGGGACACGTTACATTAATGACCTCTGCATTAAGAAAAAGCAGCAGCTTCAAGAGCTGATTAACAATGTTTAGAATTTCATCAAATAAAAAAGATCCTTCAGGTAAAAAGGTAAATCCTGCAGGAATTACCACCCARAGCTTGTGTGGCAAGGCAAGAAAAGAATTAAACTCCTGCCACTCTTTTTGGGCTTCTTCATGGCAATAAGTTTAATAGAAAGATTAACTGATTAAGCTGAAACAAATGGACACACCTATTCCAACAACACGGTAGCTTTTTCTGCTCAGATTTAAATTCATTTCCAATAAACAGAAGTCAAATTAAAAAAAAAGTAAAGGTGTTCATATAGGGAGTTAGGTCAGCATAACTATAACCACTTTATATTTATATTTACCTTGGCTTTTACCAGTCATCTTACCATGGACACAAGCCCTCACTGTTCAGGCTCAGCACAGTACCCCATCCCAATCACCATGAATGGTGGAAAAATAAGCGCAACTTCACATACCTACCATTTTAATTAAGTAACACGTGAACAGAAATAGACTAGGAGAACAGCTTCTTTTACAGACCACTCTTATTTTTAGCCTGATAATRTTTCCTCAAACTCTATGCTCGCAAGAAAGAGCTAATTTAGGCTTTGACGATCCCGTTCTCCCCCCACAAAAAGCAACAAAACCCCCACAACACACCACCTTTTACTTCTTCACATCCCAAGCTGCCCTCCCAAGCTATTTACAGTTTGTTTGTAAATAAGGCACTGGGTCAGAGGAGAAAATATTCTTCTTCACCATCTCTACAGGAAAAGTACAGCGGGACAGAAAGAACACTGTGTCCCTCTGGCTTGTCCGCGTGTGTCTCACACTGCAACRTGCTGTGGGAAATTCTACAGCCCTGTAGTAATTTTCCTACGAAACTCAACATTTACCAACTCTTCACTTTGGCAGACAGATAAGGAGAAAGGGCTTCTGACAGTGGTAAGTGCTCCATGTTCAAAAATCATATTCTCCAAAGCAGAGTCAGAACTGAAGGCAGCTGGTCTTCAAAAACCGGAACTAGGAGGACTATCCTTTTCCCTTCTAGCAGTGCTTTGAAAAATAAAACTTGAGGAGGCTATAGGGCTTATTTTCTCTACCAGTGCAAAGAAATAGAGCAGAAGGACTGGATCTCCATCATTTAAATAAATGGCTCCCAAATCACTTACTCCAATGGCAGCCAAACTAAGACACTCAGGTTAGGGCAGTCCATTCTCCTCACCCTACACAAAACATATACATGTTGGATGAGAACAGTCAATAAACCACCTCTTGGTTGGGGCTGCACTGAGAATAGCTCAGATGAAGGGGGTGGACGCTGCTTTCCAGGGGTCCTGCTGCTTCTGGGTGAAACAGGACGGAGCTCAACATGTCTCCGAGATACTCCTTACAGTTATCTCTCAGTTACTTTTCTCTTACAGTTARTGACTCAGTTTACAGGACTCAACTCAACAGTGAGTTCCTCTGAATCACAAGCCATAGGTTGGCCTCACATCCTAAATCCACAGAGACTCTCAAAATAGTGATGGGGGTTTATTTCTGTTAGCTACAGACACACACCCATCTAAAGTTTATTTTTTATATTGTGTTCCCCAGCTTGTGCTAGTAGAGGTCCCCAAGTCATTGTTTGGAATGGAAATCCAGGTTGGAAAAATGGAAGTCACGGTTTGGGAATGGAAACCTTCCATTACACTACATACCCAAGATAAGTCAGAATGAGTAGCTGTTCACCTGTGTTCTCCTTCCTTCTCAGTTTTACAGCCCAAAGCCCACATGGACTATAGATCTTTCTGTATAGAAAGGTCATGCTACTTCATTCAGTGACGGTCATTYCTAACAGGTTGCCACACACTCCAAAGTTGCTTACAATAATTACATGCAAGAGCAGCACACAGTTGCCCACTGCCTCATAAACAGCCACGGAGCTAGCAGAACCCAGACGTTTACACAGCTAAATTGCACTTAAGGCCATTAGTTTACACAAGGATGGACTCATAAATTACACAAATCAACTGGGCTGACGAGCTAGAATAAAGCATCCAATACTCTGAAGAGCACAGATGGTAAAGAGCAGAAAGGAGAATTCAGTTTGCTTTAGTCATTGACAAGATAATTGTTTCTTGGTCTGTGGTATACGAATTTTAACAGCCAAGGTCCAACCAAAGAGAGCAGATGCARGGAAGACTGTAGGTACTTCCAGCTTTATAAAACTTATTAAAGGTCTGTAAAGTTGTTTGGATACTGCACCAGGAGCCACTTCAGCTTTCAGTCACTTTCAGTCTGCATAGAGAATTAACCTCACTGTCAAACAATTTATCCTGATTGATGACTGTATTTATTTCTGGTTCGAGTTCAGCCTTGGCAAAAATAGCTGAGAAAACAAAATCTAGCAATGGAGTCCTCATATAAGTTAAATACAAATTTGAGGTTAGATTTCCCAAAACAAATAGTAAATAAAGTAACAGGTGAGTCATTTCTTCCTGCCCTTTTGTTTGAATGTTGCCAGACTTAAAAAATGAATTCAAAAACACCAAAACCACCAAAATGGCTGTTTCCACTGAGAGCCAGAAATGAACTAGCTTGACTAGGACACAGTGCAGCAGGAGACTGGAAGAGAAGRTGTGGAT